ACCCTATACTACCCTCACCTATCTCACTCCCCCCCCCCTCCGCCTCCCGCTTTGCCTCAAAATCCTACCCCACCCTCTGCTAAACCCGGCTCAAGTCATTGTTTCAATACCTATATAATGTGTCACCATGACCTTATAGTGTAACCATCCCCCTTCATCTAAAGTTAATAACAAGCTCAAACAAAGATATAATAAGTAACAGTGTGGTATGTTTGATTTGGTCGCAAAAATACGACGATCGTGTTGCTTAGTCATCACTTCGCAACACCGCCTACTTCTTCCGTAACATGCAAAACATGTTACTCCACTCCATAACAAGATTCCCAATTACAATGTTTAGGCGTATCCCCGAACGTCTTGTTTACTATTGAAATGTCATTTCGTATTTCGAAATATAATTGTCGTAAATTTTAAAAAATGAAATTTCAAAATATACGATATAGTTTTAAAACGTACGTCAAATAAATAAATAATTATAAAATGACAAAGAAGCTAGCTTTAAAACGTCATTTTGACCTTTTGTGAAGTTAAAATGACGTTTTTTCCCTACCTTATCGTGGAACTCGTAGTTCACCCTACTGTGTCACAAACTAACTTATCCTGCCTTGCCTTGCTCTACCGTTGCCTTGCATTGCCTTGCCTTGCCTTGCCTTGCCTTGCCTTGCCTTGCCTTGCCTTGCCTTGCCTTGCCTTGCCTTGCCTTGCCTTGCCTTGCCTTGCCTTGCCTTGCCTTGCCTTGCCTTGCATTGTCATTCCTTGCCTTGCCTTGCCCTTCCTTGCTCTTCCCTGTCCTATCCCTCCCCTATCTCTGCATTACGCTTGCTTTACCCCTGCCTTTCCACTGCCCTTTCCCTACGCTTGCCCTATTCTTGCCCTAACTCTCTCTACTCCAGCATAGCCACCATACTTTGCCCTACCCTACCCTCCCATTTCTAAAATACGTTCCACCTTCGCACCTTTCGACAATCCGTAAAACACCTTTCATCGTATAAAGCGTCCACCTGTCGTAACACAAGCACAGTAAACCCAAAACTTCCCTTTTCTTTCGTATTTCCCTTCTCACCCCCTCCATAAAAAAACTTTTGTAAACTGAAATTCGATGAAAAAAGGTTAAACCGGTTGAAGGGAACAGCTCGGAAGCCTATTTTCTGCTGAATTTCTCCTCGATTCTCGTTCGTTCGCGCTTCCAACCGGTTTCAAGTCCACAAATTTAATTCCAATTTTCGAGTTTTGTGCGCTGTAAATTTTAATAAACCGCGTTTTTAGTAAACTGTCATGATAATAGAACAAAGAAAGGCTTTCTTTGATTATATCTTGATATAGTATGTAGTAAATTTTGAAAATTTCGGAATTTTTAAAAAGGAAAAAAATTTTAAAAACTTAAAAACAACTTTTAGATGGCAATTTGATTACACTGTTCTTATATTAAGTTAATTTATTGATTTTTTTTAATTTTATGCCTCAATTTTAAATTTAAAAAAAATTAATTTACAAATTTCGCGCCAACTTTCATAGCACTGCCATTTTTGATCAAACTCACCTAAAACTGTTGATATAGCAAGATAATAGTACACATAGTAAGTCTACAAAGAGTCATATGTACATTTGCCCATAAAAAGTTAAATTTTAAATTTCGCGCCAAAATTGACATTGTGTTTCAACGTAGCCTTATCTTTATCGTTAGCTTTAGCCTTGGCCTTAACCTTGGCCATTTATTCTTAGAACATGAACCTTAGCCTTATCTTTAGCCTTAGCTTTAGCTTTAGCCTTAGCCTTATCCTTAGCCTCAAACTCAGCCTCAGCCTTAGCTCTAGCACCATCTCTTGACTTACCTTTACACCTTAAAAATTTTAAAAATACATTTTTTTGTACCATTTTTAATACACCAAAACAATGTTTTTTGCTCAAAAAACCTTTGAAAGCCTATGTTTACAACTGAATTTCAAAATAACATTCAAACATCACCGTTTCTTACAGTACTCCTTAAAAAAGTTTAATAATTTAAAGTTTCTTTAAAAGTAATTTCTCCAAAAATACTTTAAAAGTCACTTTAAAAACAACCAAAGTCGTTGCACATGAGAGAAAGGTGACAAATCGCTGAATTCGGAGAAGTATTTACAACTTGCTGAATTCAAAAATAATTTCACAGTTTTGCAAAACGGTAGCCTATTCTAACCTAATTTCAAAAAAAATAACAGAAAAAGATTGTTTTAGTTCAGCAAACACCACTAGAACAAAAGTTCTGGTTTGATCCGTATCCGCCGAATGGTTCGGATGCCGTAGGTTCGTAATATCAAAAAACCACACTTTTTTTTTAATTTTAAAGTAAAAAATCTACACAAAAATACTTCTTTGAAAAATGTTACAGTATAAAAAAGTAAGCCGAATACTGTAGTTTTTAAGCGTTTTTAGTTATTATAAGAAAACATATTGCCTTAAGATTTCAAAATCTTTACTCTGCCTTGCTCTGCTTTAGTCCTAGCCCTATCCCTATCTCTAGTTCTAGCCATAGTCCTAGCTTTAGTCCTAGCCCTATCCCTACCTCTAGTTCTAGCCATAGTCCTAGCCTTTGTCATAGCCCTAGCCTTAGCCGCTGCCCTTCCCTTGCTTCTACCTTTTATCTTGTTCTTGCCATTAGCCCAAGCAGAAATCACAAATCTAACTTTACACTAAACCGTACTGTACTATTTTAAAAGCAAATAAAAGGCAATCGTATTTTACTCAAATTTGGTGCAGTAATTAATTTATGTTTAGCAGTTCAATTCTTGTCTGATAAACTCGTCTTTGTCCTCCCCTCTCCAGAACTGGGTCTGAAAGCATGATTTTGTATATAGCAAACGATTTCTTACTTTTTTGTTACAGTAATCAATTAGCTATAAAAGATTCCATAAAGAACAAATTTCACTTTTGAAATGCTATTTTTAAATGAAAAACAAAAAACACCATAAGTTCCAAGAACAAAACACTATTTGAATTTATGAAAATTAAGTTTATTAAATTGATTTTTGGCTAATCTTACAGAAACTATTTTAAAATGTCAATTTAATTATAAAAATTAAAATTTTGTTAGATACGTCAAGAGTGCCTACACTCTAAAGGTCAATAACATAAAGGCAGAACCAAAGATCGGTATTGCAGCTTACTGTAACTCTTTTTGAAATGTAAAAATGGTACAAAATTTATTAGAAATTTTAACATATTAAATAGAAATGATTTTTTAAATTTTACATTATCCTGCCCTACTCTTCTCTACCCTACCCAATTACGTACATATACCGAAAGTTGATATAAACATACTCTGCTATAGAAAAAGTATCAAAGTTCATAAACAATACTATATCAACATAATATTTCACCAAACTTTGTTATCTTTATTCAATTACAGACACCATCTTACTGTGTAAGGTCCAAAGAGTTGTAAACAATATTGCGTAGGTTAAACCACCAATAAACAAAAAGTTACAGTTTTACGCAAAAAACATATTATCCCCTAATTCAAAGTTGAAAACAAACATTACTGCGTAATTTAAAAGAACAACAAACACATTAATTCGAGAGTATATTACTGTATAATCCAATAGAGCAATTATAGCTATGAATAGTTCGTTTTTTATGTATCGGTAACGTTCTCAAGAAGCACTAATGATTAATTTTTGAAACCTAGCTCAACTCTTGTATTTGTCAGCCCGGCTTGAACCTAGCCCTAGCCTAGGCCCTAGACCCCAGCCCTTGCCCTAACACCAACTCTAACCCTAGCTCTGGACTACCCTGCCCAACCCTTCTTTGCCTTGCCTAGGCATTAAGAACGGAGCAAGCCTGTGTTAGGTCCAGCACGACCTAAATTTTTCCCTGGCCCGACCCGGACAGAATTTTTTCACGTGCCGGGCCGGCCCGTGCCTCATCCCTAGTTTTGCATTGCATTACATTGCCATGTCTTGCCCACCCTATCATGCCATACTGTTACTCTATCCAGTCCGATCCCTAACATTAAGTACCATAGGTCTCTTTAACAGTAAAATTACTGTATCACCCTCCTAAAACAGCAAAAATTACTCGCTAATCTAAAACAGTAAACATTATTATCCACTTTTATGCAACAATAAACACCCCAGAAACAAAAATAAACCTCCAAACACTACTGTCATAACAATTCCGTCAGTAGTGTCATTTCGAAAAACAACTATGATGTTCTCTAATTCGCCACAAAGTAATGACCATGTTTCTCGAAATGCCGGATATTTACATTCCGGTCATCTTACCAATGTTTTCAATAATAATACGCCTTTACGAAACATTCCGGACATCAGATTCTTCGCCAACCTATAATTAGCCACGAACATTAGTAATATACGGCTGTGGATGGTGATGCACTCGTGCAAACACATGCTCAAATTTGTCATTTTGAAATGTGAAATGCTGCAAAAATTTATTTTAAATTTGTGGAACTGGTAAAAAAATTATATTAAAATCTAAAAACGAAAGAACACGAGAAAAAATGAAAGCGAAAGAACGATAATATATTACACTTAAGATTAAAGAACGAAAAATTTAAAATAAAGTGTTGTAAAACAAAAATCAAAAATTAGTGTTCATAAAAACAAATAAGCACACTATAAGCTAATTATACACAAAATTTGAGCTAAAACGGACAGTTTAAAGTTACGTTATTACCTATTTTCAGATAGATAACAACTGTTTTAGAGAAAAAATGGAGTAAAACATAAACTTAATGCCAAAACCAGAAATAAAATAACACTTAATAAAAAATAAAATAAAATCCAACTTATGTTACTTTTCCCATCGTATTTCCACACCTTTACAACTTTTTGTCCGCAGACGTTCGATCGTATAACATTGCTTCTCAAAAATAATTGATTTTTTGGTGCACATTTCTTCGTTTTTCTATAAATTTTGTGGTTTCTTCGAGTAAACTTTTATAAATTATGATCACATAGCTTGTAAAGACTATATTTTATCTTATTTTAGGTTTAATAAACATTATGGCAGCACCAGCACTGAGGTTTGTTGGTAATTACGACGTCGCCGCTGAAGGAAAGTGTTTATGGGAGATCTTATGTCAATTGAGAAACCTTGGAGCCGGCCGAATCGTTACTAAAACAGAATGGCAACTAAGATGGCCTAATCAGTCGTCTTATTTGAAGATTGTGCATGTAAGTTTTTTATTTGGTTTTTTGTTAGTTTAGGTTATGAAGATTAAATAGTTCAAAGGTTGGATTCAGAAGACCAGCGCCTTGATTTGCTCATAACTTTTTTGAAAATAGATTTAGAAGATTACAATTTAGTGAGCTTTATTTATTGTACTAAGTAATGAGATAAAACATGACTTAATAAGCTTAAAAAATTCCGAATATTTAGGCCAGGCCCGAGATGGATCCATGGCTTCATAAGGGCAAAGTCTGGGCAGAATGGACGTTTAGAGGACGGAATATGGGAGTTTATGAATTTTCGAATGATCTAAACAGAGCTGATTGGAAACTAGTTCATAAACATGAAGAACATAAGCTTTTGGACAACAAGTCGACTGTCAGTGATATTGTTTTACCATCAACTTTCCCTCTACCTCCTCTGCAGGTAAAGACTGAAGTTTTAGAAGGTTTTTGGGAATTTTTGAAGAGATATTGTAAACTTTTTGATATGAGTATGGTTTTTGGGACTTTTAAAATAGTTTTTGTGCATTTGTATAAAATGTTTTACTTTAGTCTAAAACAATATCGAAAAAATTTAAACTTTTGTCTTTGTCCACTTTTATCCCATAAGTTTTTAAATATCAAGTTTGTTTTAGATTTTAAATAGAATGCAAACTTTTTTTATAAAAAAATTGTTTTGTCTTCACAAAAGTTTTTACAACACTTTTTGCAGAGATATTTGTCCCAACGAGCGGCCAAAAAGAGTGGAGTAAAGTACGACGGGAAGAGAGACGGCAGAGCATCACTCGACGTCTGCCTGGATCCCCAATTTAATGTCTACAAAGATCTGATAAAACAAAAGGAACCCACCAATCACAGCGACTCGATTTACAAAGAGGTCGACCCGCAAGTCTATCTGGACTGGTATGGCCAAGTGTTGCCAACCAAGGTTGAGACCTGGTCGTTAGGGCCGGCTTCATATGAGCCGAGATGGAAGGTGGAGAAGCCGGCGGAGTAACATGGTTTTAGATTTTTGAAAATACATTTTTTGCTAGGACATTGGTTGTTACTTGTTATATTACAATAAAAAATTTAAAAAGCTTTTTTTGGCCAATCTAGAGTAATATAATGTTTCCTCTGGATTTTTTCTGACAGGGTTGGACGCAGGGCATGGGCCCTGTAACAGGGCATTTTTGAATTGTTTTACGGCGCGCTTTTTTTTAATTTTTTTGGCTAGGCCTAAAAACGCAAAAATTTCTAGAAATGGGTTTTAGACACTGCTAATCCATTTTACGTTGTTATTTTCTTGATAGCTATTACAGTTTTCAAGATATGAGTTTGGCGGGAAAACAAAATTCTAAAAAATGCCCTGTTGAAATGCCCTGCCCTGCGTCCAACCCTGGCGGGTACCCTTAATAATTCATTGTGGCCAAAGCTTTGGCGCAATGTGTTAATTTTTCCCAACAAACAGTTTATATGGCTCTGAGTTCCTTTATAACCGCTAAAAAAGCTCTTTGAGTTCCTTTCAATAGTGTTTTTGACCTTATGTTGCTTTTGATGTTTATGCAATCTGCGTTAGGAAAGAATCAAAATTTCGCGCTATAGTAAAACTGTCCAGATCGCAATGTTTTTCCGTTAAATAGGTCTTTATTCAACGTTATCTAGCCAGATTTGTTAGAGAATTCGTTTAATTGTTCCTTATAGTATTCTAAACAATATTTTCTATTCAGTATTCAAAAAACGACTGTTTTACTCGCTGCGGCAGCCGGCTAAAACATTTTAAAAACCGCGCGAAAAGCAATCGAATTTTTTTTAATTTTCGGTGTTTTCATTTAGCGGATAACATAAACTATAAAAAATATTATTTTATGTAAAATTTTACTTGCTTTTGGACCAATTCCAAATAATTTATCCCATGTTACGCTATGTCACAAACACAATCAATAGTGATAACGAATTCAAAAGAATTTAAAAATTTTTTTTTTAATTTTTTGTAAAAAGTGAATCTAATGTTAAAGCGCGGTTTTCAGAAGGAACTAACTAGTTGCCCTATTACAAAAAGAGATAAAACATTAATTTTGATGTTATCTTAAAGATATTTTTAAAGAAATGAACTTTAATATGGCATTTAAATGTATTTTTTGGTCTAAGAACGTTGTTATCGTTATCACTTAATCTTCTTGTTGGTTGTTTGATTATTATAGGGAATTATAGTACAGTTTTCTTATTTTTCCTTACAGTGGTCGATGTTCTTTATGTTATATTAAACGTTATTTTGCGGTTTTCGTGATTTGTTCTAAAACAATGGTTAAGATATAATAACTTGAGTATTTTAGGATGGCTTCCACAAAAGAAGTAAAACTTATTTTGGTTACTGGCTCTGTAATCTCTGGAGTTGGTAAAGGAGTTGTTACCTCAAGTTTGGGCCTTCTTCTTCGCTCCAAAGGCTACAGGATTTCGGTCATTAAGATTGACCCTTATCTTAACATTGATGCTGGTACATTTTCTCCCTACGAACACGGTGAAGTTTATGTTTTGGACGATGGAGGTGAAGTGGATTTGGATTTTGGCAATTATGAACGTTTTTTGAACTTGAGATTCAACAGAGACAATAACATTACAACTGGCAAGATCTACAGCATGGTTATTGACAAGGAACGGAAGGGAGACTACTTGGGAAAGACAGTTCAGATCGTGCCACATATTACAGATGCCATTATTCAGTGGGTAGAAAGAGTGGCAGCCATTCCGGTGGATGGAACTAACGACACACCTGATGTTTGTATTATAGAGGTAAGTCTTTAGGTTTTTGTTGGTTTTTAGGTAATACATCAAGTTAACATGAAGGAACTGGCTAGAATAAGGTCGAATAAGCTTCTGCGAAGGCAGAGCATAGTGTTTTAATAAAAATTGAAGCTGTACCTTTACTAAATTTGACGTTTTCAGCTTGGAGGAACAGTCGGAGACATTGAAAGCAGCGTCTTTGTCAAAGCTTTTGGAGATCACTTCAGCAGACCCAAGAATCGTCATCGTTTGATGAACGTGCACGTTAGTATGATGGTGGGCACTGAAGCCGAGCCTCAGAAGACTAAACCCATGCAAGAAGGCATCTCCAAGGTCAGAAGTTTTGGTCTAACACCTGATCTTCTTGTAGTAAGAAACAAGGAAGGTCTAACTAAAGCAATGGCCGAAAAGATCTCAGACTTCAGTCAACTGGAACTCTATCAGATTGTGGACAACAAGAATGTCTCCAGTGTCTACAGGGTGCCTCTACAAATGGCTAACGATGGGGTTTTGGATGTGATCATCAGAAGACTTGAGCTACCAAGTTTAAGTCACAGAAAGGTCACAAGGCCTACTCCAACATTGGACCAATGGGAGATTTTGGTGGATTTGATTGAAAATGCCTCGAAAGATGTTAAGATAGCATTAGTTGGGAAATATGTGAATAGTGAGGATGCTTATAAGTCTGTGAAACAAGCTTTAAGTCATGCTGGTATCTTCTGTGGACGAAATGTTGATATTGTACCTGTTCAATCAGAGGATTTGGAAGAAGGGACAAAGCAGAATGTTAAGGATAGTGCCTGGAAGAAGCTGAAGGAGTGCAGGTAAGGATACGATTAAAGATAATATATTTTTTTGATTATTTTTTGTTTTTTGAGTATTATTTGTTACCTACAAACTTATTTTTATGTTTTAGGTATCACTTTTGATGATTTGATAAAAAAAAGGGATTAAAGGTTGATAAAAGGGTTAAAAGCATGATTATTACAATATAACTTTAATCAAATCTTACTTTTCAGTGGAATCCTCGTTCCTGGTGGCTTTGGAGAACGTGGTGTAGAAGGAAAAATCATAGCTTGCAAATATGCTAGAGAAAACCAGATACCTTTCCTGGGTATTTGCTTGGGAATGCAATGTGCAGCTGTAGAATATGCCAGAAACGTGTGTAACATCGACGGAGCAGACTCGGCCGAGTTCAAACCAAACCTCGACTTTGACAAACAAGTTGTGATCGACATGCCCGAACACGCCGCTTTAAAACATGGTATGGGAGCTACAATGAGGTTGGGTAGAAGAAGAAGTCAGTTCTTGACATCAGAATCTGTTCTGAAGAAGTTGTACAACAAGTTGGGCAAAGTGGATTCTCATGAAGTTGATGAACGTCATAGGCATCGATTTGAAGTGAATCCGTCTTTGGTGCCGACACTAACTGAAGCCGGGCTTCATTTTGTGGGTATGGGAGTGGATGAGACTTCTGAAGGCAAAAGTCATCTTCCAGCGACGACTTCGTCAGCTCAACTGATTCAGTTGGCTGCATTTGAGGATTCTAAGAAGGTTAGTTTTGAAAAATTTTAAAAAATTGATATTTTTGAAATTTTACATTTTGATTTTGACTTTTGTAAGTTTTTTTTGCTATAAATTCCACAAATTCAGGACGATCTGCTCGATAAAGTGTCAAAGTTGTGCAAAAGAGGTGGTGATGGAGTCACAGCAGCTGCAGTTCGAATGGAAATTCTGGAACTCAAAAACCATCCATATTATGTTGGAGTACAATATCATCCAGAGTATCTTAGTGACGCTCTGAGACCATCTGCACCATTCCTCGGCTTAGTTTTGGCATCAATCGGTGAACTGCCACGATACCTAAAGAATGAATATGAAAGCTCAGTGGAAAAGCTGTCTAATGTGGTTTGTAATGATGAGAATGCTCTGCCTACTTTGGTATGTTGAGTTTGATGTTTTTTAAGAAGTTGTCATTATAAAGAGAGTGTCACACTATTTGAGGTCATACTGAAGAAGTTTTGCTGTAGTACAATATTGATGTATAAAATTGATTTTCAGGATGAACACGGCCTTAAAACTCACAAAAAGATCCCGTTCTCTAAGCAGACTACTCAATTATGATCCATTACAATCTAATTCTTTACTCGAATTAGTATTACTCACATGTTACCTACAGTACTACTCAATTTTCAAAATCACAGTATTATCTGATTACTTTCGGCTACTAAGTTCGTACTGACAAGTTTTACTAATTTTAGGTAGTACTTTTTTTATTACTAGTACTAATCAGTTTTTTATCGTACTGTTTAAATTTTTAATTTTTTCTTTCTAGTACTATTTGGTACTAATGATAATGCTTGGAAGAAGTTGAACGAGACCTTTCCTACAACTTTTTTTTAACTTCTAGTACTCTATTGTACACTTACTAGCAGTGTTTTGCCGGACCGGGTCCGGTCCGGATTTTCAAAAATTCTAAAATTGGAAACAACTTTTGAGCTTATAATTTCAAGTTTTAAAAAATAAATAACTTTTGTGAAGGTCCGTCTCATACAAGTTCCTCGCTAAACATTTGGACCGGCCGGACCAAATCGGTCTTGCCGGTCCGGGTGGTCCATTTCGGTAATAACTTGATAGCCAAAGACGGACCTTCACAAAAGTTATTTATTTTTTAAAACTTCAAACCATAAGCTAAAAAGTTATTTTCAATTTTGCAATTTTGAAAATCCGGACCGGACCGGTCCGGCAAAACACTGCTTACTAGTACTATATGGTACTGCTTACTAGCATTTTGTTATACTACTGAATAGTACTATGTTGCATTAACATTTACTAGTACTATGTGGTACTTCCTTATAGTACGATGTGGTGCTGTTTACTCTAGCATTTGGTATTACCTTTTACTAGTACTATATGTTGCTAACTTCTATTGCCATATGGTACCACTGACCTCTCTTACACCTTTTAATCCGATGTTGTGCCAATCTTTACTCTCTTACTCTGTTAAAACGATCGAAAGTCGATAAACTTCCTACCAAAAAAACGTTGTTAGCTCATTTTTGTTGAAATAAATTGTTTTTAATAGTTTTTCATCATATTTTATTAAAATTTACTTGATTCAAAAATAGTTTTAATGCGAAATAACTTTCTTTACATTTTTGTTACGAAGTTGCCTTTTTTGACCCAATTTTCAGTCGAAAATGAAACAGTTTGTGAATTTGACAGAGCTAATAACCGGTCGTTCATGGCCATGTCGGAGGATACTACGGATAAAAATGAGGAACATAGCGTGCTGAAGCCTGAACCTAATCACAAGACCCGCTCCACCGAGCCAATGTCCGGCGATGAGGTAAGGGTAGGAGGGGTATATCAGCCTTATTTCGTATTTTAGGTAAGAAAACTTTACTTTTGGGTCAAAAAGAATTCTACAAAGGCATCAAAAAAGTCTTGGCGTAAATTTTCGTTGTTTTGCAGGTTCAAAAACGACAAGACTTTTGTTACCCTATCTATTTTGTATTTTAGGTAAGAAATGATGGTAGTTAGCTAAAATTAGGTAAGAAATAAGAATCTATAGCTAAAATAACTAGTTTTAAGGTTCAGTTAACTAAATTTAATAAGTTAAAACAGCTTGCTTCAGCATACGGTATCTACAACGGAATCGACATTAAGTGGACAACCGGAACCTCATGTGCATGTAAAGAAGTTCATCTTAACCACATCAACTCGGGGTTCTAAGGTGAGCTTTTTTCATTCTAAAGTGGTTTTTTTCAACTTTATCTCAACTTATTATGTTATTCAAATAATAATGTGCCCCTTCTGAAACCTAAATTTCGTGATTAGGGTGCTCAAAATTATTTGAACAACCTAATATTAAAAAATTTTTAAAATTCGATTTATTGAAATTTTAGCCGATTTTTCAATTTTTAATTTTAAAAATAAAATTTTTCGAAATATTTTTTGCCATTTTTCTCAAGCTTCGAATTTCCAAAATGAAATTTTTTTTCAAAATCATTTTCTACGAAAAAAGGTCTGTCATGACATGTCGCGTCAACCCCGTCAACTTGTACCTTTTAAGCCCAACGCCCAGGTAGACGCCGACTTCAAAGACAATTTGCGGAAAGCCGAAGAAGCCATCAAGCACGACGTCTTCCCCGAGCTGATCCCAGCCGGCAGTTCAGGATCATACTTTGTTCGAGCCAAGGATGGTGCTTTCCTGGCCGTTTTCAAGCCTAAAGACGAGGAACCGTTCGCTTCTCTCAACCCCAAATGGCCCAAGTTCTTTCAACGGATCTTATGCTTCTGCTGCTTTGGCCGCGCCTGTTTGATACCGAATAATGGGTACTTGAGTGAGACTGGGGCTTCGTTGTTGGATGATCGGCTAAAGGTGGGTTGTTATTGGTTGGAATTTGAGGAAAAACATTTTAAAATCTTTTAATTTAAGGAAAAACATGGTTTACATCTTTGAAATACCAAAAAATATTGAGTGTAAAGTTCAAATTAGATTGTTTTAGATTTATAAAGTCGATAAGACTTGTTTTATAAATTTTAGGTATTAAAAACGTTGTTTTAAGTGTTCAAACTTAAAAAAACATTATTTTTAATAATTGAAGCCAAGAAAAATGTTATTATAGGCACTTAAAACATTGAAACATTGTGATTTTATAAATTTTAGGTATGAACACATATTGCTCTAGTTGTTTAAACTTTGGGAACATTATTTTTAACAATTGAAGCTAAGAAAAACCTTGTTTTAGGTATTTGAAAACCTTGAAACACCATTGTTTTAGAGATTTTGATATGAAAAGCATTGTTTTAGGCGTTTAAACTTTGAAAAACATTGCTTTCAACTCTTGAACTATAGAAAAAACCTATTTTTAGGTAATATATTTACATTTTTTATGTTTTTGTAAATTGAAATCGACTCTTTTAAACTTTTACAATTCAAAACACATTAAACTTGCCCCATTTCAGCTAGGAATAGTGCCAAAGACTCGTCTAGTCCGTCTCTCATCGCCCACCTTCAGCTATTCTCGTCATTGTTGTGGTCAGAAGCGAGATAAGTCCCCGAAGGAGGGTAGTTATCAACTCTTTGTACATGGCTATCGATCAGCGACAGAAGTGTTTGTGGAATGGAACGATAAAGGCATCTCGAATGTGTTGACGAACGAAGAACAAGTTGAGTTCACGATCTTGTTCCAAAAGCTGGTCATTCTGGACTACCTGATTCGAAACACCGACCGACACATGGACAATTGGCTGATCAAACATATCCCGGGGAAGGAGTTGAAGATAGCGGCGATTGATAATGGACTCGCCTTTCCTGTTAAGCATCCGGAGAGTGCCAGCCGGTTTAGAAAGTTTCCGTTTGGGTGGATCACTTTGTCATGGGCGAAAAAGGTAGGGTAATATAGTTTTGAGCATGGCTTCTAAAGGTACGGAGCCGGCTCCGGAGTCTAAGCAAGAAAGATAATTTGATGTACTGAAGGGTAGGGTAGAAAAATCAAAAAATTTTTTTAAAATGAGTTTTTATTTTTTTAATTTTCAGCCATGGGACCCCAAGTTAATCGAGTATTTCCTCTCACTGTTAACCCCGAAGAACGTTCACTATCTATGTGTTGATCTGAAAATGTTGTTCAAGCACGGTTCCAGTAACGGTCAGTTGATCAACAATCAACTTCGTGTATTCCGAGGTCAGGTGTGGAATCTGGTCGACTCGCTACGACGAGAAGAATCTCCATTTGAATTGTCGAAACGAACCCCAGTACTATTGGCCCGAAGGTACTCGAGCTCCGTACCCAACAGTGGCAATTGGAGAGACTGGTACCGTATGAAGGAGATCGATTACAGTAATCAAGCGTGTTGTTAAATAAATAGTCTTCAAGTATATTGTTATTGTGTCTTGTTTTTACTGTATTTTACTGTAACAGAATGTTAGTCTACAATCACATATTTTCCCATGCGTGTACCCCACTCTACTTTGCCATACCTTACCCTATCCTACTCTTTTCACCTTCCTACTCATAGACTAATGTCATCCCGCTTCATGTATATTTATTAACTCTAAAACCTTCATATCAATGTTATTCATCAAACTCCGTGGCAATCAAAGCTCTACATTCGCTTTTCTGAAGAAACCTGGCTACACAAGTTGGGTTCCCAACGTTAACAAGATAAGCCTGCAACGTTTTGACTCCATTTCTCTCGGAAATGGCAGTAGGACCAAGTACAAATTGAGTGTAACGCGGCTTCAATGAAGCTGCCATTTCACTCAACCACCTGGTAAAGGCCTTGACATCGGACAATTGTTTTGGAATCGTGATTCTGAAGTTGAGTTGACATGGTGGAATAGGTATTCCATGAGTACCGTGGCCCAATAGCTGGCTGATAAAGGATTCGGAAGCAATGGAGTTGAGGAAGATCACATCGACCGGCCGACGAGGGAAATACTTTTGGAATAGCTGGTCGGCAATCATTCCATCGGCTTCTGAAAAGGTAGAAGTCTAGTTTTTAATATTTTTTCTTGTTTTAGGTAGTTAGTTTTGTAAAATACGGTGGTTTCTGTTTGCAGCGATTATAATATTTCTAAAATACACTATCCTACATTACCATGCCCTTACCCTAGCTTACTGACTACTCTAGTGTGACCTGTCCTACTTTGCCCTAGAATAATCTAGTTTATTTTAGCTTACTCTACCATAGCCTTGCCCTACGCTACTCTACACTATCTTACCCTAGCTTTACCCTACCTTACGCTAACTTACCTTACCCCAACCCTACCATCCCTTTCCTGCTGCACCCTACCCTTTATAGGTAGGCTTTTTTGCACCTAAAAATCTACCTACTATAAGATGCTGCAACACATTACATTTATCTTTAACCAAGCCTCTAATCTAGTAGCATACTGAACTCCTGAAAGCCTTTACCGTAGCTATTCCCGGATTATAAATTGTTATAAATATTTATGAACATTGTGCATATTAAAACCGTGACTTTGTGGACATCAATAGCTATTTCGGTTCGGTTAGGAATGTAAATCGGCTTTGGTTATCTTAGCGGCGTTGGAATTAATTAAGGGATTAAAATATTCAAAGAAATCTAATAAATTTATATGACTAATGAGAAAAACAGTCTTAATGACAGTTTTCGCTATGTGTAATATATACGTATGTAAAGACTGTTAAAGTTTTTTTATCGTAATAGTTAAGAATTTAGTCAGTAGAAAATCTCAAAAAGCCTTACCAACATTATCCGGCGCAGTACTAATCGTCTCATTCAAAAGAGTACCATTCAAAGTCGTCCCGAAAGCCTCCTTAGCTTCTTCGTTTTCCAAATTGATGCCATAGTACTTGACAGCGGTAATGTTCAAAGCCAGCTGTCGTTCAGCATAAAAGTCGTCGTTATGACCAATAACTAGAGCTGTCATCGGAGCATTCAAGTTCGACGGAGCCAATGACAACATGGTTTTACCTAGCTCAATCAACTGTACCACTCTTTGTTCTAGAAGCCATTCGAAGGTGCACAGTTTTGGTGCATCCAAAATGGCATCATCGTAGGTGCCAATGTCATCCATGGCGAGAGTTTGTGCGAAACGGTCCGCAACACAGGTCATCATCTTGTGAGTACGTTCTTGGAAGAAGGGACAGTGCTTGCAAATCTAAAAAATTTAAAATGATGAGCTCTTACCCTACACTAGCTCATAAATCCGCTATACCTCCATGAAAATTACTGTACTCTACCCTACAAAACAAGCCTTATACTACCCTAAAACAATATAAGTACAACCTTACCGCATCATCAGGATCACATTTCTGAATAAACCTTTCTTCCAACAACTTTTTCTTGATCTGTGCATCAACTATGGCATTCCATTGCAGTTTGGCCACAATAATTAGCACTGTTAATGACAGCACCACCTTTGCAATGAAGGGCCAGCTATAATTGAAAGGCTTCATGTCGAATTAAAAATGTCAATAAGAGTCTCGAAAAGTTAATCAAATCGAGGAAACCGGCAATCCGATGTTATCTTCAAGCGTTTTTTATTTCCAAAAAAGAACTTACCGAAAAACGCGAATATTCCGAAATAGACAGAGGATAACATGAGGAATATTAGGCTGAATTCGCATTTTTTTTTAGGTTTTTAGTTCGAAATTGTCTTTGAAATTTAGTATTTTTTTTACTTGATACACATACGATTAGTAAAGTATTATAGCTACTGTTCGACAGTACGAAGTAAGTACTTAGATACCGTTCGATAGCAATAAGTACTTAGCTACTGCTCAGACTAAGCCCTCCTAAGCTTAAAAAACGTATGATAGTGATAGCCTTTCCTCTATAGGGCAACTAGGACTTATATCAGCATTAAAACTATCTATATAAATATAAATATATAATAAAACAGCTGTAACTTTGTAAATATAGAAGCTTTACAGCCTTCAGTTACCAATATCTCAAGATTAGTCTTTTAGCAGCCTTTTAGCCTTAAAGCAAATTAAGAGCTATTAACATCATTTAAAACTTGACAGATGTAATAATTCTGGTCCGTAGCAGCCTAAGCTGGCATAAAGTGCCATTTTAAAAACTAAAATCGTGGTTAGTAGTGTTTATTTTTTATTGTTACAACAGCATTACTTTAGTGTCTATGATTGATACGATACGATAAAAAGTAGAATTAATTCTCATTGTGTACTACGAAACTTATGGCTACGTTAGTTGTGCCGCTCACCAATAAACCACCGTACTCAGGTTCGACCAACCGCTCTGTCCAACCAGGCGCATCCGTAATTTACAAATGAATGGGTAGTGCTAAGTAAGCGGGTACAATGAAAAATCAGTTGCCTACACAGGCTTCGGAGTACAGCCTAAAGTCTTGAAGAACACCTCATCATGACTCGATAGCTGGAGAAACACGACCACCTGGATAAGGCTTACTTAGAAACTGCTTCAATGTACTTTTCAGCAACATGGATAAACTTATAAACGTTGTAATTTTGAAAATAAATAGAAATTTTCATTTCCAGCTTTCATATCCAAGTATAATTTTTTGCTTTATCATATATATTTTCAAAACCTATGCTATTATTAATAATCTTTCTTCAACCTGTACCAACCACCGACTTCCCTGTACAGGTTCTACATCAAATGCCAAAAGTTCGCAAGTCAACGTAAAACCAGAAAATTTAAGTAAATAGAGGCATGGCTACGTAGCTTAATCCTTATCCTTTAAACAGGATTATCTCGCCGGCCCTGATCCCCTCCAAATTTCCTCAGGGTTTAAACAGCCATTCCAAAAATGGGCTCACCTCAAGCAATGCCGCGTTTCCAATTTGCACTGGACCTGCTGTCCGAGGTGCTTAATGCTAAAACGGTAAGGTTAATATATTTATAGAATGTTTGAGTCGGGTAGGGTAAGGAAAGGTAGGGTAGAGTAGGATAAGATAGGGTAGGGTAGGGTAGGGTAAAGTAGGGTAGGGTAGGGTAGGGTAGGGTAGGGTAGGGTAAGGAAAGGTAGGGTAGAGTAGGGTAGGGTAGGGTAAGGAAAGGTAGGGTAGAGTAGAGTAGGGTAAGGAAAAGTAGGGTAGAGTAGGATAAGATAGGGTAGGGTAGGGTAAAGTACGGTAGGGTAGGGTAGGGTAAGGAAAGGTAGGGTAGAGTAGGGTAGGGTAAGGAAAGGTAGGGTAGAGTAGGATAAGATAGGGTAGGGTAGGGTAGGGTAAAGTAGGGTAGAGTAGGGTAGGGTAGGATAGGGTAAGGTAGGGTAGGGTAGGGTAGGGTAGGGTAGGGTAGGGTAGGGTAGGGTAAAGTAGGGTAGGGTAGGGTAGGGTAGGGTAGGGTAGGGTAGGGTAGGGTAGGGTAGGGTAGGGTAGGGTAGGATAGGGTAGAGTAGGATAAGATAGGGTAGGGTAGGGTAGGGTAAAGTAGGGTAGGGTAGGATAGGGTAGGGTAGGGTAAAGTAGGGTAGGGTAGGATAGGGTAAGGAAAGGTAGGGTAGAGTAGGATAAGATAGGGTAGGGTAGGGTAAAGTAGGGTAGGGTAGGGTAGGGTAGGATAGGATAGGGTAGGGTAGGGTAGGGTAAGGTAAGGTAGGGTAGGGTAGGGTGGGGTAGGGTAGAGTAGGGTAGGGTAGGGTAAAGTAGGGTAGGGTAGGGTAGGGTAAGGAAAGGTAGGGTGGAGTAGGATAAGATAGGGTAGGGTAGGGTAAAGTAGGGTAGGGTAGGGTAGGGTAGGGTAGGGTAGGGTAGGGTAGGGTAGGGTAGGGTAGGATAGGGTAGGGTAGAACAAAGTAGGGTGAAATAAGGGAGAGTTTTTCTATTCATAAAGTGTTATATAAGCTCATACCGTCTTTGAAAGGCAAGGCAAAATAGGATAACCTAGTATAATCTAAATCTGTGTGAAGTATCCTAATCGAATAATATTTAGGTAATAATACATGTTAAGTTTTAAAATAAAACCGTGCTTTTTTTAGAAAGACTACGCAAAAATTGAAGCCGTTTCGACAGGCGCCGGACTGGTTTCCGAAGTTTATCGTATACAGCTCAGCGACAACACTTCATTACATTCTAGTATTATCATCAAGGTAAGTATGAGCTCATGAAAAACGATCTAAGCTACAAAAACATCTTTTTAATAGCAATTTCGAGTAATGTTTTTTATAAATTCAGCCATCAAGAAAGCATTTTTACTATTATTTATATCATAGTTCGTACTGTAAAAAGTACTATTTAGTAAAAAAAAATGTATTTTAGCCAATTTTTGAAATTTTCGAATTGGCATTTATAATAAATAAGTTCAAAATTGCAGACAAAAACGCATTTGTTTTTCAGATTCCGAACCATTTATTCAAAGACCACCTAGATAAGAATCACGAAAAAAACGAAAATATAAATCCGCAAAAGAAGAGAGGTAAGCATCCTTTAAAAGCCAATAAAAAATGAAAGTTTCACTTTTGTTTTATTAAACATATAAATAACTTTGTATAATGAAAAGAGCGAGATATACAGAAGAGAAATGTAAACTCGTTTTTACAAAAAAATAAGTTAAAAAGCCATTTAAAAAACTATTAATATGCACCGTTTCCAGATGAAATCAACCATATGGTGCACACTGTATGCAATTTACACAACCGTGAAGTCCAATTCTACCGTTTCATAACCTTGGAATCCAATGTGAACCTCAAACTTCCCCAATTCTTCCACGGTGATTACCTGAACGAAGACACGAATGGCCTAATCATAATCGAAGACTTTACTTCTATTATGGATATACATTACTCTGAAAGACTTACAATCTCACTAGACCAAGTGTTCGAAGTTATGCAACAAATTGCACTTTTACAGAGTATTAAGACAGAAGAAGTTAAAGGGTTTCCTTTGTTGGATTCACAGTTGGAAAGTCTGTCAAATTGCATATTTCTGAGTGCTAACGTGCTGTTCCATCGAAAGTTACCGTGGTTTCATTACCATGTCTTCCAAAAGATACTGAAGATTAGTGAAATGAAAAGCTTGAGAAAATTGCTGACAATTGAGGAGAAAGGTAAGCTATATCAAGCTATAAAAGTTATTAAATTGTATAAAAAGTAATGAGCTACTGAACTCCATATTAAAAAATTTTTAAACCTAGTCTACAACAAAGTAGTGAGCAATAAAGATGAATTTATAAAGTAAAATAAGCTAAAAAAGCTACTTAGAATATATAAAGATAAGAAGATCTATAATTTCAGTTTTGTGCCATGGTGATATGAGCCTGAAGAACACTTTATGGAAAAATGAAAACGGGCCCAAGTTTTTAGCTATGATTAGCTGGACTAGCTTACATGCAGGTAAGTGCCGCAACGTATAAAATTATTCTCTACTTTATAACACTTTACTTTACCCTACCGTACCTTGATCTACCGTACCCTTCCCTACTATTCCCTAAATTACTATGCCCTGCACTGTCCTACCTTAACCTATCTCTTCCTACCCTAACTTACTCCACCTTGCCCTGTTCTGTCCTGCCTTGCACTACTCTGCCCTAGTAATGATCTCTGCAACTCCATAAACTTTTCGTTATGAAACATTGTAAAACCTCTATGTTTAGGCTGTCGAACCACCGACTTAGCAACCTTATTAGCCATTAATCTGGACCAGGAAGAGCGTCACGTCGTGGAGCCCAACATTATCCGCGAGTTCGTCAAAATGGCAGGATATCAAGAGGAAGAGGGCAAAGTAAGACCATTGCTATACAATAATCTAAAGTTTAACTTATTCATATCAATATAAAAGTATTAACATTGTAAGTATTCAACTAACTAAGAAGACTAAGAACTAAGACAATAATATCTCTTTGCCTTTTCAGATAACCGAAATGTATCGAAAAAGCCTTGAATTTGGCCTACTCAAACTACTGATAGTTCTGGTTACCAACCCTGAATGGGATACACCTTTAGAGAACTCACCTGATGGTGTTCTAAGCCGTCGACTTCGGCAATTAATTGAAGAAGTTTTAACTGTGTGAGATCTCTTGTTTTGAATCTTACTGTAATTTTTCAGCTTGTACAAACATATTGTACAATAAAAATTAAATTTCTATTTTGTTTTTGTAGAGTTATGGTTTTATAAGATCATTTTTAAATTTATATCACTATTGAAAGTGTATTATAATAGCCACCTCACGTTCAGTAGACCTATAATTGTAACTAAAATATCCACCAGCAAAAACAATTATATCCACCTCCCCCCCCTCCCAAAAACAAATAATAAAAGTACCAAAACTATTTTTCATTTATCCAAAATTATTTTAAATTTAGGCCATTGGCGTGGTAATTGATTCATTCCTCTTGCGAACGCTATGGTAATTGTCTGGCTCCACGCTCATTATCTTAATTACCTTTATTTATGACTTTACATCTTCTCCTTTTGGAAACGATGTTACATCTTAAAAATTCCTCTTGAATAAATATCTTACATTAATATACCTCTACAATTGTCAGTTCATTTGCATTTTTATTTTTTGCTTTTGTTCGTCTTGCATTTTCATTTTATTTTTGCATCAAAAAATGCAAAAAAAACTATTTTTAAATTTATACCCCTCTAGAGAAGTGCAGAGTAAAGTAGAATAAGGCAAAGTAAAGGTATAGCAGTTTAGAGTAAGCTATGATAAGGTACAGCGCAATAGGGTAAAGTAGAGTAAAACAAAGTAGACTAGAGCGGGGTAGAGAAAGGTAGAGCAAGATAAGTTAAAGTGTACTGGCTTAAGGTAAAGCAGCGTAGGGCAAGGTATGATAAGGTAGGCTAGGGTATGACAGAGTAAGGTATAACAAGAAAAAGTAAAATAGGGTAAGGTAGGTTAAGATAGGGCAGGTTAAAGTAGGGTACAATAGACTAGCATAATATAAGCTGGCATAATGGCCACTATTAGTACTGTACTTTATTAACTCAATTTCCAAGGACCTTATGAAAAGAAACGTCTGTATAACTAAGTATGTACTTATCAATATGTGATCCTTTAGTAACTATTCTAACTTTCTATGACCTTATCAATGTACATATATAACAATATTCCACATTTTTTGCCTTTAACTTAAAAAAACCCAATTATTCATAGACAATACCCACTAAAACTCAATCCAACGTCATTTTAATGTAAACTCTCGGTTCGTTCGACCGCATCCACACCTCGGGATAACCCTAGTAATTTAACGGAAAACAATTTGTCTGAATAGAGCCTTAAACACTTTTAACACTTAATTAACGACGCCTTGTAGCGGGATGAATAAGATGGGAAAAGGCTGATTTTCGCCCTATTTACACGAGTGACATGATGAATATATGGGGCCGCTAATGTGAAGTCGCTTTCATAATCTGGTTACCGAGATGTGTTTGCGTTATAGATCTAATGCTCCCGGACATTTTTAATATTTTTTAGGTTGCGCATTATAACACATGTTTCTCAAATAGTCGACAATATGGATAACGATGATCGGGTAAGTGCATGTATGTATTGTGTTGCAATATAATTACCATGAAAGAGCAGATGCTACCTTGTAGGGCAAATGCGTACCTTGTAGTACAGTCTTAGTAAACTCTTTAGTATGACACTCAAGAGATTGGTCGAAACCCGTCCTTCTAACCAGGCTATCACACTACCCGTTTTGACTTGACATTGGTCCAAATAATTCTGCGCCCTTTCTCAAATTAAATTTTCTGAGTTGGAGGCACAGAATTTTTTGAACAACCCAATATTAGTTAACATCTTATGTCCGTCTTATGCCCTTTTTAATTTGACCGCTAGCCTTATTTTAAAGCAAGTCTGGTCTGGCGGTAAAATTATCAAAATCTTATATTAATGTAGCTATTTATTGTCATTATTGTATTGTTTTAGGCATTTCAAATTTTCCTTTATTTTTTCAAAATTTTTATAATTTTTACTTTCAAAATTCGATTTATAACAAATTTTTAAACTTTTAACCCTTTAAAATGCCAAAAATAAAAGGAAAGTCCAAATTCCAGCCAAAAATATTTTTAAAACTCAGCTTGACTTTGATAAGGCCAATTTTATTGTTGTGGCCTCATCGGCGGCTTCAGAAGAGCCAGTCTCGATGAAGGGGTTTAAGTGGTGTTCAAGAAGTTCCGTCCTCCCACATTGTTCATCATTCTTATTCATTTACCGTAGCTGGCTTTCAGAAATACATGGTCTGCCCGCAGAACGATATTCCGCCGATTTTGGAGCACAAAATCTACGTATGTTATCGCGAGCGGTGGTATGTGCTGTTAACTGTGTGTTTGTTGGCATTGTCGAATGCGACTGTAAGTTGATGATACGTTTTGACTTTGAAACTTAAAGCTTTCGTTGTGGAACCTAAGCTATTTCTTTGAGACCATGGTTTAGCCCTGACACAGCTCCATTTCTGTCTAGTAGACCGCCTTTCAGGCCTAAATTGAACATACTTTAGATATGGATATCATATGCGCCATTACATGAAGCCACGACCAAGTTCTACTGCGTCAAAGACGAAACAGAATGCGATGTCATTTACTGGACGTCCCAGATATTCCAAATTGTTGGTGTTGTAACCGGAATATTTGGCATGTACGTGACTGACAAATATGGGATTCGCACTTCCGTACGTTCTTTTGCTATAGCATATGACATACAACAAGAGGTTTCAATTGAAATTGTATTTGTCCCCGTTTCACTATTTCTGCCGTATTTTACATATCTTTCTAATATTCAATTTTTTCGCAAAACAAAAATTATTGAAATTAAAAAACAAAAAAAACTGATTTCAGACGTTATGTGGGTCGACCTTCAACTTCCTTGGTGCTATTGTTAGGGTAGTGTCCAGTTTGCCAATTATTCCTTTGGCTATTCGACTACCTCTTTTATATACAGGTGAGTTCAAAGTAAAAATATTACATACATGTGGTTTCAAATTAACAAGATATACATCTAATTCCCTTCATTTTTATGTTTTTTTGCAAAAATAACAAGTTTGATATTTCAGGCCAAACCATAGCTGCGATGGCCCAGCCTTTCTTTCTCTGTCTATCGCCTAAAGTCGCCGAATACTGGTTTTCCGATCATCAGAGGGCTTTGGCTAATGCTCTCAGCTTTGTTGGTAAGTTAGTGTTACACACAGGCTTGGACAGAAGGCAGGGGGAGGCAAGGCACAAAAAATCCTCAATGCCCTGTGTCCAAGTCTAGTTACTCCCCAATACGTTTGTATCTTTTGTAAAATTATATTTATCATGTCCTTATGCTTATCAATAGTAATATTGATAACATATACTTCAACGTTGTAATTGATAAAGTTACCTTTACAACGTATTAAAACCGTAAGAGTTCATATATCTTGACATAAACATCATATAAATTTCAGCAAATCCCTTAGGCGTTGTTGTTGGGTCAATGATACCCATGCTCTTCGTATCAAATACAAATGCTACTGAAAATTCCGATGATATCTTGCTATTAGTAAGTGAACCCATCTATCACCTCTTTTCTATGTCCTATCTGTCATTTATTTCTACCTTTTCTTTTTCTCTCCTTCATATGTAACTTTGCCATGCTTCTAAAGGGTTCCTAAAATCCCCAAACCAATAGTTTACCATCTACTACAAAGTGAATTTTTGCAGAATTTCATGTTGTTAGTACTGGCATCAATTGTAATTGTAATGAGCTTCACAATCACCTCATCTAAACCACCGACTCCGCCGTCCGCGTCCAGTGAATGTGCTCATTCTCCACCGTTCTTGGAAGGTTTAGTACATCTTTTCAAGTACGTTTTGGGAGTCTTGCACTTTCATACACAAAGTTTAAGCCAACAGCTAATAGATGTCATACTCTAGTGCTTTATGTACTATTTAATACTCCATTTAGGTGAAATGAAATTTACTCATGATAAGTAATAAAGAAGTATACTAGACGTTGCCCTTTCAGAACTCCCGTATTTTACATTCAAATGATAACATTCGGAATGGCATTCGCGTTACAATGGTCAGTGTTCATTACTGCTGATAAGATGCTGGGTATACTTCAGTACAAAGACAAGGTAACTAACACGACATAAACCACAAATTAGGATTTTGAATATAGTACAATTGCATCTTATACCATTAATTCCTTAACGTATGTAAAAGTTCTTCTTGTACCATTAGTGTCTTAACGCCAACTCAATTTTAATCATAGATTTTCAAAATGTTGCAAAATAACGATGAAACATAGCAAAACTTATAAATTACCTTAAGACATATAGTACATCATTAGGTCTTATTGACCAAATAGACTGAATATTTTCAAAAAATTTAAAATAATTTTGCAGGTAACGAGCTACTTGATGGCATTATCAGCAATTAGTGGCTGCGTTGGTTCCGTGTTGGCCGGTTACTTTGTTGACAGAACGAAAAAGTTCAAGGAAGTAATCAAGACCTGTTACATCGGAATGGCAATTACTGCTGTTTCGATTAATGTGGTAAGTTATTGAGTAGTCTCAGTGAAAAAAAAGCAATACGTATTTTACAAAAAACATATAAAAATGCTAAGATATACCAAAATCTATAGTACTATATCCACAGCTAGCACTCTATAGTACTATACCCAAAGCTAGTACTAAACTCCAACAAAGATTATTGTACCAAAGAATATTAGTTAAAAAATTAGTGGCAATTCTATTTAGTTCCTACGACATCCGAAAACGAACACGATGGATGATGTAACTTTAATATTGTTGTTGATTATTCTCGGTTTCTTTGCCATTCCAGTGTTCCCAATCAGCTTGGAATTAGGCGTGGAAACCACCTTCCCCGTAGCTGAAGCTACGTCTTCTGGAATCTTAATCATTGCTGGGTATGTTTATCATAAAAAGTAGTGACTGTATAGTAGTCTTTTTTGATTTTTGGTATTCAGCAAAATGTTTCTTTTAAAGATTATTGTAAAATGCGGTTCTTCATAAGAAAGCTTCGTCAACTTCTTGTTATTATTACATACTAAAACAATATCATTTTGTACTAGGTTGTTTAAAAAATTATGTGCCCCATCTCAAAGCAAATTTCCGGGTTATAAGCACATCATTATTTGAACAACCTAATATATAAACTAATTCCAATTGTGACTATACTTTAGACAACTATTGATGTTCATCGTGACATTTGGAATGCAAAGTTTGGAGTCTTCAAAGTGGTTGTATCAATCAGAAACGGACATTCATTCACCACGACGACTGGTCGATATTTTCGTTAAAAATTATCAGTGTAAGTACTGCTAATAGAGTATTATTAGTTCGTTCAAGTAAGGCTGTGCCAACCATACAGCAAATTTTCTGGGTTAAGGAGCACATAATTATTTGAACAGCCTAATAAATTTTTTAATACATCTGTCAACGAGGAGTTTTCCTTTTACATTATACGAGGAAGGAGTATCATTTAATGAATACAATTGTTTTCAGTATCAGTTGACTTCTGGACAGTATCAGCAATAATGGCAGCTGTTTTCACTTGTACTTCATTATGGCCGCGGTAAGTATTAAAGAACCTTCATAAACTAACCTTCAACTACTTGTAGCACCATTAATAAGGTTCTCAACTTAAATTTGTATCTAAACTTCAATTTTCAGTTATCGTCGACTAGAATTTGAAAACCGAAACAACGTTTATGTTGACGTATCCAACGGTAATCCAGTTGTACCACCATAAGTACGCTGTTCTCAACATAGTAAAACTACATCAATCTTCTCACCACAGTAAAGTAACACCCTCAAATTTTGTAGGTACAGTGCCAACTTTACACAAAGTTCATGGTAAACTCTTCTTACGTCATCAGAATTCTGTAGCTCAAACCAATTAGAAGTTGGCTGTCCTGTCCGTTCCACAACACGTTTACAACACCAAAAAGATCAACCAGATGTACAATATCTCGTCCTCTTCACCCTAGCCATTCCAATATCCCACAAAACAGTATTCTCGCGTTTCGAGTGGCCTTCTCTCGGTCAAGTAGCCGGTATAACAATTGCAATTGACACCGCGGTGTACATAACTGTTTACTCATTGATTGCGCAATATTTGCTTGTCGAGAATCGCCGCTCCATTTTCTGTAAATGTAAATATTCCTGGAAGTAAATAGCCCTAACTTGTTGATCGGTTTAATTGCAATGAAATTGGTTGTTATCGATTATGTCAGCCAAAATCTTCACCACCGACTCGTTCGATCATAATGGCCAGAAGGCGGCCGCCCACTACAAGGTCTACAAGATACGATGGGCGTTGATTGTGGCGGTGTTCGCAATGAACGCCTTCTTTGGAATGGTAAATATTGTTTTAGGTGTTTCTTTGAGTTGTTTCAATATTGTTTTAGGTGTTTTTTGAAATGTTCCTTTGGATATTATGTTAGGTTTTGACAATTTTTAAGCTGATTTACATCTTGGTACCTCATCGCATGTTTTTGTAGCATAATTAAAGCACAAAACACCTGAAAAATAATATTAAATAAAACATATACCTTTTTGAAGCCTATTTGAAATTAAATTCAAACCTTTTATGAACCATTGCAGATATCAACAGCTTTCAATGATCTTAAACCAGCTGACGACATCCAAGAAAAACCGTTTCAAAACCTGTCGTTTTGGTTTCAAATCACATTTCCTATCGGTTACATAGTAGCTTCCTTTCCTGCAGCTTTATTATTGTCAAATGCTGGTATTCTCCCTAGTGTAAGAATCTTACAGTAAGATCCATATCTAATGTTAAAAACACGTATATCTTATAAGAAGAAAATTAAAAGAGTACCGTTTTTCACTACCTAAAACTAACAACAAAAAAAGCCAAAAAAAACTTACAAAGAACAATCTTAACGTCCATTTCAGCTCTACATCTCTCTTTTTCTTGGTCTTCTAGGCGTTGCAACGCGATTCTGGGGAATATATTATCTTAGATTCGTCGAATTCCGGCTAGCAATCATTCTCCTAGGCAAGTAAAATACAACTTATAAAAAAACATACCAGGTCACACAATAGCAGCCCTAGCTCACGCAACATGCTTGAATGCACCTTGTGTAATATCGCATTTGTGGTTTCCATCAGGCCAACGGACAATGGCAACATCAGTCCCTTTCTTGGGATTTATATTAGGTAAAATTGCTTCAACTTTGACGTCTCAATATGTCACATCAGCTGGAGATACGACGCAAATGATCAATATTGTAAGTAGCTTCATGCGTAATGCAACAATAATTGTAACAAAATTTTAGGTAATAAAACAGATAAAATACTAATAAAAACAGGATAAACGTGCTTTTCGGCATCTGCATTTACTCCAATTAGTTATGCTTCTTTCTCAATTCATATTAGCTTATTCATATTAGCTATATTAACATAGACCTATAAAAAAATCAAGGAATCAAGTACTATTTGCTTTAAAATCAATTAAAAAAACTAATTTAGACTTGCCTGCATGGTATCTTCGCCCTCACTCCAGCATTTCCGTTGTTTTTGGTATGGAAAAGTCGACCAAGTACTCCACCAACGAGTTCGGCTGATCAATTCCTGTTTGAATACCAACTGAAATTGCCTGAAATACCAAAGATTTGTAAGTAAAACATTAAAGTATAAGATGTATTAAATGTTATGATAGCTTGTAAACGTTTTTCTGTTAGAAATTCATTTAAAAAGGGCATAAAACAACGATATTGTCGCGACAATTGTCGAAAAAAGTGAATTTGAGAATTTTTAACATTTCGTCTTTTGACACTTCGTTCTGGCTGTTTTTTGGTGGAAAGTAAGAAAACATATGTTGTTTAAACAGGATATTGTACTCCTAGAGCATTAGTTTTTTTATAGTTGACTTTACTCTTTTAAGGAAAAATACATGTATTTGTATATTTGACATATTTTACATAATAACATATTGTTTTAGCTTCAATATTCAACTTTACAATCATTGGCTTGTCAACCGGCTGCATTTTATCAATAATCCACATTCACTCCGACATTCTAGAAGTCATTTCAACCCCAGTAAAGTTGCGATACGTCAACGCTCTAACTTTATTTGTCATCTCCATTATTGGCACCTTAGCCTTTAGTGGTATAGTAGATTCATCATACTCTCATAAAGCTGTCTTCAGAGCATGTTTAATATTGACAACGTTATCATCCTGCTTTTTATTGTTAGCTGGATTTATTGCGAGCAAACAAGCGTTGGTTATTGGAAGTTTATGTTTGTTGGCATTTGGTGCTGTTAGTGTAATATCAGTTGGTCTTGAGGTTATTGTGGAGACCATGTTTCCAAAGGATATTGCCTATTGTAGTGGGATAGTGTGGGGCATTTGCTATGTGGTACAGCTTGTATTTACTTGTTTTTACGAATTTTTAAAAGGAAGGAAGGATCAGGAAAGAGCTATTCAAAGTAAGTTACCTTTAGTTTTTAGTTAACACTAGGTTTATTTTAATAATGAAACATAATTTTTTAGTAATGTTATGGACTACCACATCACTATTACTGTTTACATTCTTTGCTTCTACAGTAAATTTTAAGTTTGTGCCGAGGAGAAGGTTTTACGAAGAAAATACGAATGCCTCGAGGATAAAAACTATACTTTCTGGTGGGATATTGAGCTCGGATGAAGTCCGGACAGTATTGTAGTGGTTTATACTGCTTTAGAATGTTGTTGTGGGTTTTTTGGTTGTTGCCGGCAGTTGTTTTGGCTTCAAAAACTCGCTGATAGTTGCTAATAAACATAAAATGCTACCCCTACTCTACTATAATGTATAAAATATAAGTTAATAAACTTACTATTTATAAGCTAATAAACTTTTATTTGCAAAACCATAGTTATTTATCAATTTTTGACACAAAATTTGGTTAACAAATATTTATCCAGATTTCAAAAATCTGCTGGGACCGTGTTGTGACTTGGCCTAATACCACGAACTGGTCAACAACGTCTGTTAAGCTCCACGATGGAGTTTAGGGAAAATAAATGTGAAAATAAAAAAGACAAAGCGCCAATTCCTGAGGGAAAATTGGAAAAAGTTCAGAATCTTATAGAAAAAAAAACTTTTTCGAGGGAATCAGAGGAATTGAGAGGCAAATGGGGTTTTGGGATTCTGGGTTTGAGTTCATCATGAAGTTAATGTTGGGTAATAGACCTTTTGTTAGGGGAAAAACGGGCCGGACCGAGTTTTGAAGCACGGCCTAGGACCGGGAACCCAACGTGTAGGTCCTGCCTGTTTTTTTTCATCTGGCTCAGCCTAGTCAAAAAACATTAAGTCCAGCCTTACCCGCGGGTCGGGCCCGTCATTAGACCCCTTTAGTTCAAGGCCGGTCCGATTAAACAGCCTAAACCCTATTCTAAGCTCTAGCGTTAGCTCTGGTTTTAGCTTAAGCCCTAACCTAAGCCCTAGTCCAAGTCCTAGCTGTAGAAAGGCCCATTTTTCGCCCCTGCCTTCTGTCATATTTCATAATATTATACATTGTTATGCTATAGACTATAAAGGAATGTTTAAAAACTTATTTTAAAGTTTGAAAAATAAAAATTATGTTTGTTTAATTTATTTTTAAATTTTTAAAAATCTAAAAATTATGTTTTGCGTAAAAAATTTACTATGTAAAGTACATGTTAAAAAGTTCATACTTACCCGAGTTTGCAAAACAAAAGCTTACACACTCTTTTTTGAATTTTGAATTTTTCTTTGAAGTTTCAAATATGGTTACTGGAACTATTGGGTTGTTTAAATAATTATGTGCCCTCTAACACTAAAAATTTGGTTTCAGGGGAGGGACAGATTTAAACAAACTAATATTATAGTAGACTGTTAAGACTTAAGAAGGATCAGGCTATGATAAAGGTCAGGTGGGATCGAGGTGAACTTTTTTTGGAAAGATTGGGTTTTATTGGCGTCTTTCTTTTGCTTCATACTCCACAAATTTTAGAATTGTTGTTAGCATAAATCAATATGAAAATTTATATTGATTTATGGTAATAAATTTAATTTTTTTTGACGTATGTAGACAAATTTCCTAAAACGTTTTATTAATTATTGCCGGACGGTTGAATTTATACTGATGCTAGAGGTTTTTTGGTAAACCTAATCTGAAATAGTCTGCTTATTTAGAAGGCTTACAGTTACACTTTTTACCCTGCAATATCTTAGCTCTACTTTATATCTGTCTTAGTCGTAGCCTAAGCTCTAGCCCAAGCCTTAGTATAAGCTCTAGCCTAAGTCATAGCCTAAGATCTAGCCTAAGCCATACCCTAAAACATAGCCTAAATCCTAGCCAAGGCTATTACCTAAGTTATAGTTCAAGCTCTAGCTTAAGCTCTAGTCTTTTGACCTAAGCCTTAGCCTATGTCCTAGCCTATGCCTAAGTTCTAGCTTCGGGCCCTTGCCAGTACCAGCTGAAGCCGTAATTTAAGCCCTAGTTGTAGTGCCAGCTCTAGTTTTATTCTAGCTTTAGTCTTATCACGCCTTGTTGTATATCACACTACCTGTCTTTTATCCTTCTACATTCATCTTTTTAATAGGAAACTGCGAGTTAATTTTTGTTGTTAAACCACATTGTTCTACAAAATTAAAATTTTTAACAAGTATCTCAACTTTGAGACGTGGCTGCCTGTGCCCGTAATCCAGCATCTACATGAATACGGCGTTCCGTGTGTGTGTCTGGCGACTTTGTGAACGAAGAATAAGTGTAATCCATCCATTACGAATCTGAAATGATCTCGGCAAATAGTTCTCCTCAGGGCCTCGAGCATTAACGCCTAATCCGACGCTCTTTCGTCCTCTTCCGCCACTCTCTCTTCCACTTACTTCGGCCCGGCCTTTTACGATTCCAACTATAACAATTACAATATAACATTACAGTGCTGGGAAGGTAGATATTATCGTTGAGGTGGGTGCTTTTGGTACTTTTAATATACTGGTACTACTTTTGGCACTTTTAATAAACTGGTACAACTTTTGGTACTGCTAAGATAAAAGTACAAACATGACCAACCTCCACCGCATCAAACTCTTTATGCATCATCGACGGAAAATTGAACGCCGTCTGATGACATGGCTCTTACTATGTGGCCTTACCATGATCGTTTTCTACGTAGTACTAGTGGTCGGAACAGGTGCCTACATCTTTTACAGTCAATTCTTGTCAAAAACTACCGTGTTACAATTACAACAACAATTTCAATTCCGAGAAGATCCGATTGTTAAACTACTGGCTGATGATGTGAATCAACTTGAGGTAGATGAAGGTAATAATGTAGTCGTGAATCGACGACCAGCTGATGTCGGATTTAATAGAATGTTGAGGATGAGACGATTATTGAACTACGAAAGGTCTAGAGCTAAACGAGAAGTGGATTTTACGGAGTTTTTGATCAACAAAACTGTGGTCAGTGATCAATCAGCTAGAGTTAAACGAACAAGTTGTTCTGAACAAGGTAAGTTAAAATTTTGATCAATAATATTTTTTTAAAATTTAAATTAGGTAAAAATAGATTAAAGTTGAATTTAAAATGTATTTTTTATCAAATTTTTCTAGTTTACAAAATTTTGTTTGAAAACCTTTCATCGTATAAAATGGTTTGCGCAGGTTGCGCCGTCTATCGCCTGTTTTCTTTGTTTTTTGTTATTCTAGGCTTACCTTTAACAAAATAAGGCTTATTTCGACTATGTTTTATCATTTTTATATGTTAAAAATATAACTTTATCTTTACTTTACCTGATAATCTCCAAAAACCATGAATAATATTATTTTCAGCGTTGGGGCATGTGTATTCAACGGATGCGGACGACGTATTTCCTGATGACCTCTTTACCTTGGCGCAAAGACGAAATGGTGCAATAATTCTACATTTCTGTGGCCTTTGCTACATGTTTGTAGCATTGGCAATTGTTTGCGACGAGTTCTTTGTGCCGGCATTGGGAGTTGTTACTCAAGAGGTAGGATAATATAATATTGATGTTTTTTCCTGCTTTTTCAAGCTGGTAGCTTATTTACGAGGATGTAGAGGATATTGGAAGTTATGATATTAGGGATTTTGAAAAGAAAATGTTAGAAATGGTGGTAAACAGATTAAAATTATATTATAGTTGGGCTTGATAAGGAGGAAAAGGAAGTAATCGAGCTGTGACGATCAAAATTGATATTATACTGAAGTCTTTAGGCTATTTATAAAGATATTTAACTTTTTAATTGTGGTTTACTTTATTTTAGCTTGACATATCAGATGATGTGGCTGGAGCAACGTTTATGGCAGCTGGTGGATCTGCTCCTGAATTCTTTACATCATTATTTGGAGTTTTCATTACACAGAACAATGTTGGGGTTGGGACGATTGTTGGTAGTGCAACGTTCAATATTCTTTGCGTTCTGGCGTTTTGTTGTCTGTTTTCTCGACAAGTCTTACACTTGAAGTGGTGGCCAATGTTTAGGTAACATTTTGGTTTTAAAATGGATTTGTGGCGTTCTGTAGCATGCTGTAGGGTTCTGAAGCATTTAAAATCTGAATTTTAAAGTTTTTAATGTAAATGCCCTATGCAATAGTGCCATTTTGCAGAGACATGTCGTTCTACGTGCTGGCCCTGTTTGTGTTGTTGATGTTCTTCCGTGACGAGCAGGTGGACTGGATAGAAGCTCTGTGTCTTTTCATGATTTACATATTATATGGAATTTTTATGAAGTATAACGAGTTCTTCGAAAAGCTCAGCGGTCGATTGATCTCCGGCCGAAGTGTGATCACTCCACAACAGCAGCTGGTCAAGGTGGGTACAATGTATTGGTATTAATGGTGCTACAAAACTCTTGGCGTTTTTGTACTCACAAAGTAATATAAATTGACGACAAGACTTTTGAGGCTTTGATAATTGGCCACAAGACTTCCTTAAAGCTCTGATTTTTATATTGTAGTAGCCTTCTTCCCTAAATGAAGTAAAAATTTTCAAAATATTGATCAAATAATCTAAAATGACATTGTATTTTAGATAGAATCAAGCTCAAATGGTCTTCATTTACCTGACAGCCCAACCAATGAGTCCACCATGAAAGTAGAAAGGAACATTCCAGTTTTACATTCTGGAGCCATGTTTCGAACGGGTTTAATGCATATGGCATTGGAGGACATGGAAATTGCTTCCGATACTTCTTCTTTGCCTGGGGGAGGTATGAGGTTCAAAAATATTATTATCTTACAAGCTTTATTTTTTTTTGTATTTTTAGTGTCAGTATTCTCCAGCCAGCATGAGCTAACTCCAAGGCCAAGGCTAGTCAAAACAAAAAGTCAGCCTTCAATTACACCTTTGAAATTGAAGCCCCCGAGGGCTGGTGAGTCTTTAAAATTTCTTTTTAGGACATTTTTCCTTGATTTCTTAAAAAATCATGGTTAATTTTGTTATTTTTAATGGGTGTTACCGTATAATTTTTGATTTTTTTTGTAAATTTAGGTAGTTTTTGATAATAATTTGTAAAAAATGGCGTTTTTATGTTTTAAAAACTACTTTTTTAATTGAATTTTAATAAGTCGTGAACAATTTCACCCCACCCTCCTCATTTTCAGCCAAACCCCGCTCCGTAGCGGCATCAGCGATCGACTTGGACCGTGTGAGTGTGGCTTCATCAGCGTGGTCCAATTCGACCGCAGCGATTGGATCAGTCCATTTGGCCAACGGAAATGGGAATTCGCACGTAAACACAAAGAAAGAGCCGGTAAACAAGCCCAAGCCTGAAGATGAAATTGAAAAACCGGTCGATATTTCATGGCCAACGACCAATCGGAAGCGTCTGGTATATATCATGCTGATACCGATCATGATACCATTGTATATTACGCTTCCTGATGTTAAAAAACCGGTGAGATTTTGGGTTTTTGGGGTGGATTTTATTAGGTTTTTCAGATAATTCTGTGCTCTTTTTAATGCCAATTTTTGGGGTCAGGGGGCAAAGAATTATTTGAACAACCAAATAAATGAAATTTTGAAAATTTGGATGATACTGTGCTATTTTTAAAAATTTTCTTAATGATACATGTGCCATTTCTTCCACAACATCTTCAAGACCATTACAAAACCATAAAGTTCAAGCTGGCCAAGTGTAATACGAGTAACATAGGCTTGTTTAATCTCTGCTTACGTCTTTTTCTCCTAATATTTTAAAAAGATTAAGAAAACAGATTAATGCTCCGATCTTGTGTCACGCAATCCGGTGGACAATCGGATGCATTTTACAACAACTCGTAAACAGTCCAGTAGCATAAACTATGCAAATTATCTTCAACATTCCATTGAACTGTAGCGCTTTTGAATATGATGTTATGGGCTCGAAACATGATGTTAGATACTTAAAATGTGATGTTGTGTGATTAGATTAGTACGTGTAGGTGGTGAAGTTAAGAAGAATGATAAAAGAATGCGTTAGTAGGTATGAAGATGGTCTTTGGTACATGAAAAATGAAAATTAAATTTAAAAAAAGTAAAATTAGGCTAGCGGTAGACTTGTAAAGGGACCTGGCTTAATTTTTTTTTGTACGGGCCAAGACCTTTATTGTGCTACCTAATGTGGGACTGCGAGGCCTTGGTTTGGGTCCGAATTCAAGTAAAATCTTTGATGCAGGACTTAAGTTAGGCTTCCGAGGTACTGGTTTGGGCTCGGCCCTTGGGCCAATTGTGCCGGTTTGGCTCTTTTCTAAGTTTCTTTGGCCTGACTTATCTCGGCATGGGATCGGGCACATTTGGCTCAATTTTACATCTAACTAACAAGTTGTGACAGTATGATCTTTACCTATATATAGGCTTATATTGGCTACAGGGGCCTAGATGAATCATCTTATAATACATCTTCCAGGGTCGTCAAAAGTTTGTAATCTGGACTTTCTTTGGCAGTATATTGTGGATTGCTTTCTACTCATATTTAATGGTATGGTGGGCAAATACGATTGGATCAACATTGGGAATGCCTAACGAAATCATGGGACTCACGATACTGGCTGCTGGTACCAGTATACCTGATTTGATTACTAGGTAAAAGGTTTTTTTATTTTAGGTAGCTTTAAGGATCTACTTGGTTGTTCAACTATATCTGTGCTGTTCTTCAAAGCAACTTTTTGCGGTTGAAGGCACAAAATTATTTGAGTAACCTAAAAATGTTTTAATTTTGAACTAAAACTTTTATGTTTTTATATAAAAATCCATTCAAAGCTTTAAGTTTCAATATTATCGCAGAGTTACTTCACATTTTTAGTATCATTGTGGCCAGAAAAGGTCTTGGAGACATGGCCGTATCAAGCTCAATTGGCTCCAACTTGTTCGACGTATGTGTTGGGTAGGTTAATATTATTAACCAGGAAACTACTCGACATGCCCTCTGTACTAAATTGCGCTTTTTAGCCAATTTCGAAAAAATTGAAATGAAATAATTACGTTTTGAATTTTCTGCCAAATTGGCATTATGGTCAAAGCTTATAACTTTTTGATCATTTTTCTTTTATATAAATACTAGTAGAAAAGCTTTAAATGGTTTGTTATTTTTATATTTGTAAGCATAGCCTGTTTGGAAAGTCGAAAAGTGTGCTTGAAACATAATGCCAACTTTGGCAAAATGGCCGGAAATTTAAAAATTTAAATTTTAAAACTCAAAAGCGCGTGTCAAAACTTTTTATGTGTACCATTAGTGGTAAAAAGAATTTTTATAAAAATTATGAGCTGATTTTGAGCGCGGCGTAAAAATTTAAATTTTTTGTTATTTAAAATCTTGAAAATATCAATTACCTACTATAATATCAATACCAGTTACCTACTACAATATCCTAAAAACCACTATTATAGCCTCCCATTCCCATGGCTGCTCAAATTCTTTATTGACTCCGTATTTTACTCAAGATATCAAACCATATCGATAATCTCAAACGGCTTAATATGTTCACTTGGTATGTTGTTCTCCATGCTGGTTATATTGTACATAAGTGTGTGGGCGTTCGGATGGAGGATGAACAAAAAGTTTGGTTTCACCATGATCACATCGTATGTGGCAATGTGTATACTCAGCGTTCTGCTCGAGTTGGACATAGTTTTGTGTCCACTGCGGCGGTTAACTCACAATTGTTAGGAAATACCTATGATTATGTAGTTATTGGTAGCAGCAATGCCTATGATAATGTAGTTATTATTGTACGGTTGTACTTATGATAATACTGCTACTGTGATTAGGGCATGCCTATGATAACATAGCGAATATTGTTAGACATTTCTAGTGTAATATGTGGCTAATTGTTAGGTATGCCTAGTACAATATGTGGATACCCAGTAGGAATATATGTTTTATAAGTTTGTATATGATATCATATGAATAGTTGCTCTTGATGGTACCAAAGTATATATATCAATAAATATATATGTTTTAAAAAGGGAAACTAAGTTTTTAGCTATTTTATTACCTAAACTAGCGTTTTTGACTATTTTTGGTAATAAAGTCTAAGAAAAAATTAATATTTTGTTACCTACACCTATATTTTTGATCATTTTTTAATTTTTTAAGCTTGAAAAGCCTTAAAATTTAAAATCTTGTTACCTAAATTTATATTTTTAAGAATCTCAAACGTTAAAAATTTCAAAATCAAAAATTTTTTTACCTAAAAATCTTCCAATTTGTCCAAAACCAACTTGAATCGCCTTAATAACTCACTTGAATCGAGCAATAAAGCCGGCCCACTTAATAACCTAAACCATGACCTCATCCATACTGTATAGAGTTGAATGTGGCGGCGCTGAATCAAGGCCGAGAGTTGTTTGTTCAGATCCACAAGCGGCTTCAAGGACTCCCAATCACTTTCTTTTTGAGAGTATTGCGCGGATTAATTCGGGATTAATGAGTAATAATGGGACAAAAGGGGGCTTATCGTTATATTATGTTAGGTTTGGCCAGTTATTTTTGAAGTTTTTGAAAAGAATTGAGGTTTTATTCGGCTAAAAATTGAATTTTTAGTTTTTTATGTCGAGCGGGGTATTTTTTTGAGGGGAGGGGGGGGTTAATTTTTTTTTAAAATTTAAGATACAGATTAGTTGTAATGAAGTCCAATAACAACGTTTCATTTATTTCGTTTAATCTGAGACCATGACTCGCATTGTCAGATACTATGTACAAACACATTTGGGACTATAATATAGGAAGAGAGATAACTAATATTTGAAGCGCTATATAGTGATAAATACAGATTTATTAAAATTATGAGCTTTTAGGGTACTGTAACTTGATGTTTTACTTTTAGAAAAATGTACCGTGTATTGTAACTTAATTTTTTTAAAATTTTGTTTAAAAGGTTATTTTACGGCTTGTCATAATGTTTCAGTACCATTACAACGTTATAGTATTATAACCAAAAGGTACATAAGACAAAGTAACAGTACTATATTATAAAGTCATAGTACCATAAAATAATGTCACAGTACTATAACAAAACGTTACAATACCCCTCAAGTTCCCGCGCCAAAACCCGGCCCTCAGGCCAGAAGCTTGGGATTATCGACCGGATATGGAGGTGGGGGTGTGGGCGACGTAAATAACCTCGCCTCGGCCCGAACCGTCTGCTCTACGCTCCGACTCCGCTTCACCGTCTTGTATAACTTCTGCAGTAACAGCGTGGCCGAACAGAATACGATGGTAAAAGCGGCCAGTAGCAACAAAGTGTTGGCCGAGATAGTGGATTCAGAAGTCTGATATTGGGATGGATGCCAGTAATGAATGGGGTTGATGGGCGGGTTGGGTTGTGGGGGTGCGGCTGGTGGTAGACCTATTTTTGGGATCTGGAAAGGGTGGGTTGGACATGACATTTAACGAACATTTTAAAAATGAAAATTTTGAAAATTAAAAAAAAAATTTTAATAAAAATCCCTACCTTCTGATCACAGCTTTTGCCGAAGTACCCCTCCTCGCAGTGACAAACCTTGTTTCCTCTCATGAAGGCACATTGACCATGGACACAGTCGCTCAATATACACTCACTACTCACATGTCGATCACACAATGGCCCCGAATACCCGACTTTACACTTGCACGAGTACGGTACGTCGCTACAGTACCCGTAAACACAGCCTTCTCGTCGAATACATTCGTCACAGTCCTTCCCCACCCAACCCGAGTCACAAGCACAAACGCCTGGGGACACGCACAGACCGTGGCGGCTACAGTTGGTGGTGCAGTAGGGCTGATCACAGTTCGGGCCGAGCCAGCCTTTGTTGCAGATTTTACCTTCTCGGCTACAGACATAGTGGTCGGTCATTTTGGGCTCTTCGCAGGTTACATTACAGTAGCGGCCGATTAGGGCGCCGTCACATTGGAGAGAGGTCTTGTAGATCATACTGAACTTTTCTTCTGACTAAAACGGCTTCTATAGTTTTATAAATTACAGTACACTATTATAAAGTTATTGTATTAGTTTTCGATCAATAGCTATTAAAAAGAGCGTAAGACGTCAATTATTAAGATTTTCTAGTAATTCTAAGCCTTTCATCTCGAAAATTTGTTTTGAGAAAAGGCGCAGAATTATTTGAACAGCCTAAAAATCTTAGTATAAATATATCACCTCCCAAGTACAATGTACCAAGATAGCTAGAAAGTTTAAGCAAACTATATTATCAAAACCTAAAAAAGTTATACCAAGATAAATTTCAAACTTACAATAGTGTATTTCATGTGATTTGGAGCATTTTCCAGAGTGTTTAGTACTGTGTAGGCTTGGTGAACTTTTTCATGATTTACTGCGTTTTCAATTGATAACATTAGGACAATCTAAAATTATTTTATTTTACTTTTTTATACGTATCAGGTTGTTCAAATAATTTTGTGCCCTCTTACACCTAAAATTTACTTTGAGACGGGGCACAGAATTATTTGAACAACTTAATATAATCAATTTTTTTCAATTCTTTGCCCACACTTCCTGTTATACGGTAAAAGAGTTGATTGTGCAATTGTGGTGTGGATAATGTCATAAAGAGGGGGTGCATCTGTTGCAGCTCGCAAGTCACGGATAATCTACTCCGGACAAGGTCACTTAAAAAACGCCGAAAAAAGTGTAAAAAATCTGTTTTTTGAGATCAAATTTCTATTGTTTCTTATGCAATATACAGTAGGCTTATAGTGATACGGGGTGGCTTTTGGGTTTTTGGTACTAATAGACTTTTTGGTATATTTAGAGCCGTGTTTGGTTACAAGAGACATTTTAAAAGAGACTTATTACCTTAACAGCTAAACCATAATAAGCCTAAACCCACCAAAATCCCGGCTAATAAACCAAAATATTGTGACTGAAAGGTCACACGTGTTATGACAAAATGACATGTGGGCTATTAATTACCTCAAAGCAAATTCTTCTGCGCAATATTTATTATAGTTTTTGCGTTAATTAAGCCTGAACATAATTAAGGTAAGCAAAAAGTAACTAGTAAGTAAAGGTTTGGTGTCATTGAGTGCCATGTAACCTTGATTTCTTTATTTGTTCGAATTTTGTTTTGGCTATGGCACTATGATTGAAATTGTGTGATAGGGAAGGGTAAGATGTGACAGGGAAGAGTAAAGTAGGGGAGAATAGGGTAATGTGGGACAGAGTTTGGTAAGGTTGGGTTGGGCAGGGCAGAGTAAGATGACGTAGAGCAAGATAAGGGACGGACTGGGCTCAGCAGAGCAGGACAAGCAGTGCAAGGCAAAACAAGCGAAGACAAGACAGGGCAAGGTAGGGTAAGGCAAGGCAAGGCAGGGCGAAGCAAGGCAAGGCAGAGCAAGGCAAAGCAAAACAAGAGAAGACAAGATAGGGCAAGTCAAGTCAAGACAAATACAAATCTATATTTTTATGTCTATATTAGACCAGATTGGTTCGCTACTTCCGCTTTTGCGCAACCGAATGGCCTACCATATTATATTGGCATGTAAAGATGAAAAAGCGCGCTACGTTTATGACATGACCCGCAAAGGAAGTTTCGGAATTAATTATTCAAATTAGAGCAAACAAACAATCAAAAGTGGGTCTTAGGTATTCTAATATTTGGCTAATCTAACTTTTTTAAATTTTTATTTTTTGGACTTGGTAATTTTTTCGTTTTTAAAAATTTTGATTTTTGGATTCATTAATTCTTTCGTCTTTATAAAAAAATAAAAAATTTTAAAAAATACGAAAAAACTAATGAATACAAGCTCAAAATTTCATGTTGATACCAATACAAGCCACAAAGCTTTCAAACAACAAAAGGATTAATGGATTTCTACCTTATTTTTAAAATCAAAAACCAATTTGCAGGTATTTTTTTGATGCCATTTCGAAGCCGTGTCAGTTAATTGGAATCTCATTCACAACAGATGCAAAAGTAGGCAAACCCAATAAAACGCGAAATGATGCAGATGGTCGCTTAAAATAATCGACAAACTGTTTTGACATTTTTTTGATAATTTTAAAGTGCGCTTTCATTGGGTTTTAAAAACTGTAGCGATCAATCTTTAAAAAATGGAGAAAAAGTTTAAATATTAAAAAATTGAAAGATATTGAAAAACTATTTTTAACAATAAAAAAATATTTTGGCTTGCTTATGACACTTTGAACTTAAAATAGGGTAACATCGAATAAGGCACAGCAAGAGGAAGATATTAAAGAAGGATTGCAGGGAAGCAGGGTACGATAGAGTGGGTTAGGATAGAGCAGAATAGGGTAGGGTAAGGTATAATTAAGTGGGAAAGGGTAAAATAGGGTAGGGTAAATTAATGCATGGTAGGGTAGGGTAAGCTAGCGTAGGTTACGATAGAGTAAGGAAGGGTAGGGTAAAAGTAGGTACAATACGGTAAGATAGACCTGACAATCGGGTCGGGCCGGGGTCAAGAAAAATTCAGGCGGTCACGCCGAGCCCCAACTGTTTGGTCCCCAACCCGGCAGAGGTTCTGGAACAGATTGGCTCTATTGCCAAGTCTAGAATAGGGCGTTCTGATTTTTCAAAAAAAGTTTTTAAATTTTTTCCTTCTTTTCTCCTCTAGTTCCCTTGACTTCAAAAAAATTTTTTAAAATCCCAGAAAAACGAAAAATAAACTAAAAATACTTTTACTCTCTAATAGATTATAAAAAAAGCGTTAAAATTGACCCTACAAACTTTAAAAATTTAAAAAAATTTAAAACGTACCGGATAACTCAGCTTGTTAACATCAAGTCTGTAGTCAATTGAGGGTATCCCAGGTGAACAATCAAATGTAAGGTTAGCTATCGTGTTTGTCATAGTCTGATCGTATAGGTTGAGTTTACATTGTAACGCCGCTTCTTCTGATCGCACTGAATCCACAACAAAGTTTATGTAGTTTACTGCTACATATGAGTTTAGTTGGAGTAGTAATAGGAGGGTTGTTAATTTGGGGCGGTTCATTCTAAAAGCGTATTTTTAAAGTGGGTGTTTCATTCTAAAATTGTATTTTTAAAATACGCGGTTCATTTTTTAATTCAAAAATATATTTCGTAATGAAATAGAGAAAACTCTCTTTACAGTCAACAAATGTCGTTGTAATTGTCATTATTTTAAAGTGAAATACGGTATTTTTCGTGAAAAACTGGTTTAAACAAAAGCTTGTTTTAAAAAATTTTAAAAAATGTAAAGAAATATAACATTTTGAAGATATTCAATAGTACATTGATAACGACCGTCTAAAAACCGATAATTTAATCAAATATCACAAGAAAAACAAGCAAATATCGATTAAAAGGTATCACCCTACCACTTGTTGGGAACGATGAATAAGAGCGAATAAATGGCGTCTTTAAAGTGACTACCGTAACGGAAAAACACTCAATTATACGGAAAAGTTTTTGTACGAAATATATTTTGACTAGTAATGGGAATTGAATTTAAAAAAACATTTAAAAGTTTTAAAAGGTTAATTGAAAGGCTCTACCTTACCTTACCTAACCCTACCCTACCCTACCCTACCCTACCCTACCCTACCCTACCCTAACCTACGCTACCCTACCTTACCCTACGCTATCTTATGTATCCTACTCTGCCCTATCCTACGTGACCTTACTCTGCCCTGTCCTACCTTGCTGTACCCTTGTAGACGTCAAAACCTATTTCAAAAGCAAAAAAATGTCGATTAAAACCTAAAATAAAATAAAAAAACATTTAAAAAAGGTTTTTTTCTCCTAACACATCAAGTATAATATAATATTGAATTCAGAATTTTTTACCCCTGCCCCACTTTGAAGCAAGGTAAAATGCACTTTATTAGAAATAAGAAAAACGTTCAAACATCTCAAAATTTTTCTTAGTTCCACCTTCCCCTTTTGTAACTTCTACAGCCTTCCCAAGTGCCATAACCCATAAGTAATCAAACTTTCAAAAAAGTTTCAACAACCTAAAAATGTTTAAATTAAAAAACAAAGATAAAAATCAAGCCCCCTCACTCCAAAAAATGTTACAATAAACGGGAAAGAAAAGACGTTGAGATGTGGCAATGGACTGGCTTTTATTAAACATAACGAAAGGCGGATCCCCTGATCCGGGGCGGGCGAACCGGCGATGGATTGAGAAAATATTTTGTTTGTAAAACAATCTACCTTATGACAACAAGAAAATATATCCGGCAGGGTAGAAAAAAACGGAAAAGCGTGGTTGTTTAGATATGATACTGAATGATAGTGACAAAAAATGATTTTATCAAGGAACTGATACCAATGCCAAAAAAATTGTAAAATTAAAAAAGAATTTTTTGAAATTTAGCAGGAGGAACTAAATTTAACTTTAAAAAAATGGGTGCCGGAAGATCCACCCCAACAAATTTTTCCTAAAAGTTAAGTTTGGGACTTCTACAAATGGCAAGAACTTTTTTTACAAAACAAAAAATAAAAATAATTTTTTTATAGTCTTAATTATAACCTAAACTTTAATTTTTAACGACACTTACTGCCTAAATTTCGCTTTTAAATCATACTTTTTGCTTAAAATCCACTTTTTCATGTTTTTTATTACCTAAAATTCAATGTTTGATAATTTTTATTATCTAAAATACAATTTTTAATCTTTCTTATTACCCAAAATTTCATTTTTTACAATACCTACAACAAAAAATTCGATTTTAAATAATGTCACTACCTAAAATTCTCTTCAACAATTTTTACCTCTAAAATAATTTTTAATCAAACCCCTTAAATTCGGATTATTAATTGCGGTTACCATACCGTAAGAGGAGTGTCAAAGTTGGCCCTGCATTTTTTGATGTTTTTGGCGTTTCCGGTGGAAATCGGACAGGTGAAGAGAAGAAGATGATCACAAAGGCCGAAAATCATCCGTTTTTAATTTAATTTTTTTGAATTTTGGTAGACGTATTGAGGATAACATACTGTAAAATGTTTTTCATAAGAAAAAAAGTCGTAATAAACACTTTTTTACAGTCAGTCAGCACCTACAGTCGATATAATTTTTTTGAAAAACTACCCTGCCCTTTATACTTTTTTTAATCTGGATTCTAACGCTCTCTCATCCCTCACCATTTTATACCTAACAAGCTTATTCCCATCTATTGTAGCCCTAACTAAGCCTATCCCCACCCATTTTACCCTTTCCCACCTCACTCCCCCCCCCCGCCCCCCGAAAAATCCCCTCAAAAACTTTAGCTCATAGCAAGACTCAACTAATGTATCGCACCAAAAATGCCATTTTTAGTCAATGCCTACCAGAAAACACCCTTTGAATACCTTTTTTAAAGTAACACTTAGTAAAACCGTTAGTATAGTAAACAAAACCCCCTCCTCGATTAACCTTAGGAACGGACCAAATTGAGGTTTGATGGAATCCCTTTGAAGTCGACGCCCATTTAAATATAAATCAAGGAATTCAACTTTCTTTGGGCGTGCGCAAGGAACCAATTGTGGATCAGAAAAGCACTTGGAGTCAATTAACTTTCTGACAGCAATACCACAACATAAGTTTTATGGTATAACATGAACTGGGAGGGGTTTTTAAATTAAAAATAGGTATCTTTGACGGGAGGGAGGGGTAGGTAGAGGGGGGGGCAAAGAGAGTACACGAAGGGGGGGGGGGCTTCTTTCTAACCCCCATCCATAAAAACTCTAGTTCCTAGAGCAAGAACAGATCATCAAGACCATTATTGTTGCAAAAAAGAGATTTAAAGTGCAAGGTTTTTTATAATTTATCATAAAAGTGCACTTTTTGGCTCAAGATTGATCCAAGTTGTTACTAACATCATCAGAAGAAAATGCTTTTTAATGCAATCAACTCATGTTTTCATCCCTGTCTCTCGTAACTAAATATTATTGATTAAAGTTTTTCAACTCTTAAAATATTATAACTTTAAGTACAAACTGCAGAGTTGAAATCCCAGTTAGGTGACATGATGATCGATAATATCAACAGCAGAGCCATTGTACAAAAAAATTGTTAAAAGACATTTGATTTCATAATAAAAATTAAAAAAGACGTTATAATGACTAATATTTTGAGAAAACTCGAAAAAAAAACGTTATAATGCCCAATTTTAATTTCCATCATTTTTTATGACAAATTGACAAAACCAATCTTCTCATGCTTAAAAATGTCTTGTGGTTACACGTAAAAACCGTAAAGTTATAACATCACTTTCGGTATTTAAACTCATTATAAAGTACCAAATATCATGTCAAACATCAAAAAATTCCGGGTTAGTGAAAAGCGAAATCATTAAAAGAACATTAAAATTATAACGTTCACGGCATGGTAATTTTCACAATATTCTACTTATGCGACCTTACATTAAAATTATACAAAAAATATGAGTTTATACACTAATAATATAGTTAATAGTTAACAACTTTCAGTATCAACTTTTTAGGACTTCATCAAAATAAATTTTTAAAAAATTTTTCCCCGAACTTCCCCGAGATTTCCCTTTTCCAAAATCCCCCAAGTTCAATCCAATTCAGTAAGTTTATCTACAGTACTAATTAATGGTTACAAAATTTCACAGGACAAAATAATTCTAGTATTCGTAAGGATAAGTCTCAGATATGTAATGGTCATCTTAGTATTTGTACGAAACTGGACATCTGACATTGCGTAAGTAGTAGCTAGTCCTGAACTCTCTTTCGATAGGATCATCAGCACCAAAGGCACCGTACATACTGTCGCCATTCGGTCTTCTCGAAGTGCTTTGTTGATTAGTGGTGTCCGCGTTCGACCGGTTGAAAGATACGCCCTCACGAACATTCTCGGGTTTCATCTTTATCTTTGAGGTTTGGAAGTGTAGAGGAGATTCAAAAACATTGGCAGTGCTCGATGACGGTATTGGTAAGTCTTGGTCTTTCTTCTTTCGTCCGTTCCGTGCTCTTTTCACCGTTCTTTCCTCTTTAGCGTCCGCATTTGCCTTCTCTTTTAGTGCCGGCTTTCTCTTCTTTTGAACCTCTTCCTTACTCTTCTCATCTGTAGGCTTTCTCTTCTTCTTGCCATTTCCTTTACCTTCCTCATCAGTTTTTGTAGCAGGCTTTCTCTTCTTCTTATCACCTTCTTTACTCTTCTCACCATCCTTTACAGTAGGCTTTCTCTTCTTCTTTTTCTCCTCTTTCTTGTCCTCATCTACCTCTTCCGTTACTGTAGGCTTTCTCTTCTTTGTAACCTCCTTAGCCTTCTCCTTAATGTTTCTTTTGCTCTTGTTCGTCGGAACATCTTCTTTGTTTTCCTTTTCGCTTTCTGAACTTGAAGATAGTCTCGGTATCGTCCAGTCTTCCAAGACCTGAAACAAAAAAGTTATTTTAGTCCTTAACACCATATCACAAAAGCTTATTCCAACTTCAAAAAGTTTAACTAAAATTTGTAAGTATAAACACATCCTAATTCAAATTTATATTAAACTCTTACACTTACCATTTTTGTAACTGGCCTCCTCGGGGCCATAATTCTTTGTTTTACGTGTTATCTGTACCAAGACTTGGAGGAAGGACAAAGGAATGGCAAAACAACCTGTAAAAGCTCAATTATATACAAGAAAAGGTCTACAATACGTTCGCTTTTCAATTATAATACCAAAAACTCTCAAATAAAAACATCAATACAGTAATAAATTGTTGAAAACCACAAGTATCGCAACGAAAAACGTTGTAAAATCCAAAAGTAACAATAAATTAGCGGTTACTTTATTCAATCACAAAATACATAATAAACAAGACTGCTACAATCGCTAAAAAAACTACTCTAAAACTATTTAGATAGGCCCTGGAGAATCTTTGGATATACAATTAAAACTTTACCAAAAGATAAAACTTTAAAGCTGCCAAAAAATAAGACATCAAAGTTTGCTTGACCAGTAGAAACCAAGATTTCAAAATTTCCTAAAAGTGCAACCCCAAATAAAGATTCCCCAAGACAGTTTGATATAATAATAATACACTATGGTAACTCATGATAGTAACAAATATAGCAATAATAATAATATTCAAATATATTACTGAGAAGATCAACGAAACTAAAATATGCTCATTGTCATAATATTAATAATTGTAGACTACTAGGTAGTGAAGGAAGGGGTTCAGTGGAACTGAGACAGCGGACGTTGGCAGTGTCCCAAGGCTTCCAGGAAGTAGGCCGAGTTCAAGAAGTCTAAAACAATGTTTTCGATTAGTCAAATTAAAATCCAAAAATGATTAACACAACTTTATCTAACAACATAACAAATCGACATAACACTAAAAAACAACTTTAATACTTGGCAAATGCACTAATTCTTTCGCGTTCATCTTTTTCAATTTTAAATTGAAAAATGAAAACGCAAAACAATGAAAAGAGTTACCAGTTTTTTGCCAAAAATGACATTCTACGCTAGAGTAAAAACAATGTAAAATATTGAAAATTGTAAATTTCAGAAAAGCACAGATTACAATAACTCAAATTTTCAAACAAGACCCTTCAATTGAGTGAAATCAGCATAACATGATGTTATAGTAGACCACAATTTCATAAACAAACATAAAAATTTAGACCAAAACCACCGTATTCTAGAAAAGAAAATGAGAATATATACAATGAAACTGAACTGTACCAAGCACAATATCATAAGGTTAACAATCTTGCTTTAAAGACCACAAAAACAGTCATTACATCTTACAGCTATGAGAGTATAGTTGTTTTACAAAAAGATGCCTTTAATCGTCTACTATAACATCAAGCTATGTTGAACTCCTGCGTCTGCGCCCTATATGCGTCAAATTTGATTAACTCACTGTTCCACCAGTTGTTCGAGAAGAAATGGCTTCTCTCTTCGCAGGGTACCATTTCCTGCGAGGCTCTTCTGATGGACAGATCGTTCTTCGAGTTCTCCTTGATCGAGGTGAGAGTTTTGGAACGACGTCTTCTGTTTCCAAATCTGGTGCATGCAAAGTTGAGAGCAGTGAAGACAAAACGAGCTGGACCAGCGGCACGGAACATCTTCACCTTGCCGTTCAGCAGCTTGGCGTCCTAAAATTTTTATTTATTTATTTTCAAACTTCACTCGTAGAGTCATAATATATCATAAAATAATAATATAACATAAAATATAATTTTTTTTAATAAATGACAATACAGTGATGAGCATACATAGCTATTAATCCCTTAGGAGTCTTAATGATCTAGGAAAAAAAGAGTTCGCCTTTAGGCACGTTCTAGAGTAAGGAACGTGATATTGGGCCCCTCTTCTAGACCTAGAAGCTCTCAGGACAGGCTTTTGGGCAGACGATACAACTATTTTTAAAATTTTAGCTTCTTGCTCCTAACATGGACTCAGTAATAATGCTGTTTTATTCAAAAAACATTCGTTTTAGAAACGAAAAACCAAAAAAAATGTCTAAAAAGAAGGAATACTCATCAATCCTCAACATCATCATTGTCTGTGACTACCATAACCTAAAGAAATAAACAAAAAATCAAGAATACTTACAACTCCAACCAACGGGAAGTTATGGCCAACTTTCTCAGCATCAACCAGCTCCAGAGGAATAAAATCACTGCGAATCTTCTGGTCATACGATAGAACCATAACTAAAACAATATAATAAACAGTTTAACATAATTCATGCAACTTTTCTTTTCAAAATCTATACACAGTAGTAAAACAAACTTACCAGTTCTCTCCGACAAGCTTTGACGAAGGACTGGCCAAGGAACTGGAGAGTAAGCATTGCATCCCATATCCTTCCAGATCAAGGAAACCTTGCCATTGATACGAGCTTTTACTTCTCCGATTTTAATCGAAATGGCCAATTCAGCTGAAAAAAAAAACATTAGTCTTGCAATAATCTACCTAAAAAACGAAAAATAAAGTTAAGAATGCCAAAATAAACTTACAAGGCAAATGGGCCATGAGTTCACCACCACCAAGAGCAACTTCGATAGTTGCTTGAATAACCACAGGAGAAATGAACTGGTGGTTCTTGTTCACGATCACCCAATAGCCATTTGAGTCCACTGAAATATAAGTTTTAGAAAAAATACAAAAAAACTCAAAGAAAATGCACACATCACATCAATGAACCTATGTGATGCCATAAACTTACTTTCATTGTGCAACAACTTGGTCGGATCCACGTAATAGTTGAAGACCCGGCATAACATGTGATTGGCGAAGGCTTCAGCAAACCAAGCCACCTTCTGACGAGGAACTTGCTTAATAATAAAGCTGGTAAGCACGTAAGTAGCTTCTTTGATTTCTGTGTACATTCTCGTCTCGATAATCTCTTCCGTTGACCCTGAAACCAAAATTTTGAAAAATAGGTATACCTACAATATAAACTCGGTCAAAACAGCTTAAACGCGACAAATTAGACAACATATTATAGAACCATATTAGAGAGCAAGATAGTGTCCTAATCAACCATAAACAATCGCCATAAACTCTGTTTTAACAGTGTAAAACAGTAAGATATTGTGATTGCCTTCATTAATAAACAAAGAAGAAACAACAACCAAAGCAAGAAGATTTTAGGTACAAAACTCCACGAATATACCTAAAATTTGTCCCAAAACGTTCACAATTTCAACAAAAGACCTATCATGTCTAACAACAATTCATAAAAGTTTCTTCACAGCCCAAAACTAAAATATCACGACAAAGGAAAGATGAACAACATTGCCAACTCCAAGAGTTACAGCTCAAACCGCAGGCCAGCTCGACACAATCCTAAATGCCAGCCTTCATGAGAAAGTTGACAGGATTTGGTTACCAGGTTGTCTGCCACGATCAGCGGAGACAAGGCCATTTTCGTGGCGGGACCAAATCACTTGTGCAATGTAGACCTTTTTGAAAAGAATTTGACGAATTTTGGCGATTTATCATTGAATTTTAAGATTGTTTGTCGTTTATTAGTTACAAGACCTTTTATTTTACAATTATATATTTATTGCTGCGTTAAGATTTGTAAAAAGTTGTTTTGAATTAGGCAACAAACTGTTACCAACATTGTTCTCATTATAACTTACTTGAATAGATAGGTAGACATCTGAAACTTTCTGTGACCGTAATTTATTCATATGAGCTACTAAAAAAATACAAACCTTTTCACAAGTTTACATTTCATTATTATAGTAATTATCATAAAACCTTCAATCTAATCCAACTCTTTCAGCAACTTTATTAATTAAAAAACGTTCAAAAGTTCAACAATATTTATTATGTATAATAGTATAATACAGAAAATATGGTTCTGCTCGTTGCCCTGAAACAAAGTGCAAACTTGTGCACTTTTCCCATCAAAAATATCTTAAAGTAATGGACCTGCTACATCGTTACCCTCTTATTTTGAAAAGCTACAAAAACCGAAAAAAAAACGGATGACAGGCACCACCGAGATCTTTTTTCACTCACTTATTCATCCTTTACCTCTACTTTTGTCTCCCCACCCTGCTCCTCGGTCTTGGCTAAAGTTACTTTACTGGCAACCTGATGATTTATAATGTCTTCACCTTCACCCTCTACCTCAACTTCCCTCAGGTCCCGGTCGGCGACTTCGCGGCATTTCTCGATGAGAGCTGAAAAATAAAGATTATAGATAATAAAGACAAATATTTTAGTACAATATAGCAAAGCAGCGCTTTAAATTCATTGAAAACATTCCGTTAGGCAGTAATATTATGCTAGAGACAGTTCAGTCTCATAATGAGCAAGATTTTAAAATCATAGAAAAACGATGCCTTACTATCCATGTTCTTGGCAGATTCCTTAAGCAACTCCAAAGATCTCAGAGTGTGCTTGGCTGGCAAGTAGAAGATTGGAGGCTTGGTTTGTGTTTGGATAAACAACTTCAGCCTTCCGAAATGAGTCTCCTTTTCTCCCAACTAAAACAATGTTTTTATTGAATATCGTTATTGACCGACTTTACTGCATTTTCTGCTACACACCTTATAAAATTTAGTAAAACATTAAATTCAAATTATAAATATGTAAAATATAGTTATTTCTTCGCTTAAAGTGTAAAATTATCCTTACATTGTGTTTGATGGCGTTCTGTCTCTTTAGTTTCAAAATCTCAATTTCCTTATCTCTTTTCCGTGATTCCAAGTCGTGTTTCTGCTTCAAAAGCCTCTCCCGTTCTTCCCTTTTACTAGCTTCTAACCGTTTTTCGACTTCACGTTGTTTTTGGACCTAAAATTAAAGTTTTCAAAGGTTAAATTATAAATTAACAACTTAAATTACGGATAATAGTAGCTTAAACATGTTAAGCTTCTAAATCTTCTTTAAAATTAGTCCCGTACCTGCGCATCAACTTTTGGAGCAACGTTTTTCTCTTCCTTTTGGAACCTGTCCAAAGTGCCCATAAGAAGATTTCCAAACAATCGACGATTTCTAAAATTTAGAGAATTATATGTGTTACACATGTAAAACAGCCTTGCTTTTTGTTTTATGAGGTGTACGTTACAATATTTATATAAATTATAAGCTTTCTGTTTCCAAGCCGTTAATTTTAGCTCATTACCAAGCTGTAGCTCCAATAAATCGCAGGGACCTAAACCATGAACAATATAGTTAAAATCTTACCTTTTGCTGTCTTCTGCTTTCTCAGATTGTTTCAATTTGCTCAATGTTTCTTCTCTGGACTTAGTTTCAATAGGTAACACGACACTTGACTGTAACGATCTTCTTGGTATTGAAGGTGTTGGTCCAGATGCTGGAACAAATCTGCGGTGTCCATTCTCTTCTTGACGACTTCTTTTACCTCTGAAATTGAAAGTAACATTAAAAAACGTGTTCTACTGACAGTAAAAAGATTAATACAGCCCAGAACGAGTAGGCTAGCTTTCTGCTTTGGGTCAATTCTTAACGATGCTATTTACTTTAGCAGCAAACAAAAAATCTCAAAAAATCTTTAATTTCTATCCCATAGCGATCTTTAAATATAAAAATTCAACTTACAATGGCTCGGATTCGCTATAAACGACAACTTTCCGCTTTCCACTAAAATATATGAATCAATGTTAATATTATCAATGAAAACCAAAATAAATAAAGAAACTATTATTTAAGAAACCAAACCAACCTTTCGCCACCTTCTGGAGCTCGCACCAACAATCGTTTCCTAAAATCGAAACATTACTTGTATTATCATAAACACTTACCTTGTTTCTGGTTTCTCGGCATCGTTCATTGTAATTGGCTTCCTTGGTTCTCTAAAATAACTTGTACTATAATCTGCTATATGTTTACGTCCATAAACTCAGTCAGTTTCAAGTAAACACAACTTACTTTTCAGCAGGCCTTCCATTCAAAGCGGCAATGTTATCGTTTATTTCCTTCAGTTCGTCCAAAGCTTTATCAAGTTTCCCTGTTTCCATATCTGTCATTGTAGCCACAACAATATAGAATTATTATTTTTACGAAAGATACTCTAGGGTGCTAGTAAAACAAGCGCACTTTGCAACAAACGGATTTATTTGGCTAAAAAAGAATTTATTTTTCCACTCTAATAAGGTTTGTTTTCGTGGCGGGACCAAACTGAAGACGATATGTCGTTTTGTAACTGATAAGAAATATGAATATTTATCGCGATATATCGATGAATAAAATATAATATAGGTTTTGTCCATGAATAGCTTTATTTTGATAATAAAAATACTGTTTTGTTGTAATTTTTATTTTTTTGAAAAAAGTGATAAGAACTTGATAATTTATGTTTATTCAAATCAATTTTATCGAGATTTGGCCGAGAGGTATAACCAGTAGATGAGGTTGCAAATGGCAAATGTGATGGGGAATAGTTTTTGGCAAAATCTGAAAATTGAAAGTATTTCCTAATCAAGAAACTTTATTTGTCATGGATAATGTAATTTTTGTTAACTTTTTACCTATTTTGAAGTATTTATGTCTACCACAGTTATTTTAACATTTAAAAGAGGCCAATAGGATAGTTTATAAGTAAGATTGTTAAAAAAATTTACCTGTCCAAATCCTCGCCCGACCATTTATCGAACAGTTTGGGGGTGACGGCTTTGACCGCGCCTTTCCGTCGAAACGATTTTTTCCAAAAAGATCCGCCTCGAGCACCGGTACGCGAGGAGGGGAGAGATCGTGCTGAAGGTGAGTTGGGTATGAGATCATCACCACCGCCTGTGTCGGTTTGAGGACATTCCACGAAGGTGGCGTCCTCGAGGTTAGCCCAGGTACTCTTCTTCCATTCTGTCGAAGCCGTGCCCGTATTACTATTACTGTCTATTCGTCGGAGGCGGTATCGCTGAAAAGGAAAAAAAATTTTGCGTAGTTTTGAGATTACAGTAATTTTTCCATACCCTACTTTTTCAAACTTTTTTTGTTTTTCAAGTAAAATTTGTTGTTTGCTTCGTTAAGGATAAGACCTGTACTATCTTAAGACAGTATCTTTTAATTATCTGTACTATTATAATATAGTATCATATACACAACCATCTAGAAATGTTATGAACTTTCGCTAAATGTGAATCCATTTCGAAGAATCCTTACCGGATTGCTCTGTCGCTCTCCGATGGCCTTCTGGAATGCTCGCCGTGCCAAATCTTTGTTTGTATTACCCGTTTCAAAGTATTCGACCGGTTGGAAGTCGCGCTTGAAGCGCTTCTCCAAAGAGCCCACTACAGCGAGCTCCACCACGGTTAAGAAGATGAAGGCTAAGCAGCCGAATGAGAAGACGTCCACGGCTTTGACGTAGCTGACCTGAAACAACGTCATTTTAGAAGGGTTTTTGTGGGAGTTTCTGTCTAGTGGGAGGTATAGTAAATCCTCTATTTAATGGGAGGTATAGTAAAATTGTTATAACTTGATATTGTAGATAGTCCAATTATGTATTTTTTCAAGAAATCCCCAAATTAAAACGTTTTTTGAGTAATACCTACAAAATTGTAAAGATCATGAAATTTAAGGCTTAAAAATTTTTTTTAAAATTTTTTGCATTGTTTTATCTTAATCGTTTTCAAATTCATACGAAAAAGTTGCTTTACAATGTATAGCCATCAAACTTGCACAATCACTTCGATATTAATATACACCATTGAAGACTCGTCATTTTTTATACTTTCGACTTCTGATTTAGATTTTTAATTTTAAAAATTTATAACAAGGGTCCCCAAATTTAAAATTTCCGGCCACGGTTTCACCTCCGGCTCCGGTTATTTTCAAAATTTAAGCTTCGGCTCTAGAGAGTAAAATTTACCACACCCTTAAAAAGCACTTACCTTCGGAAGTGACCTGGCAATGTTACTGTACTGTAAAGTAAGGGCCATCAAAGATGATACACCCAAAGTGACCCGTGCTGGTAAGGAGCGGCGATCAAGCCAAAACGAAATGAATGAAATAAATACCATACAATAGGTGGGCATGTAGATTTGGAGAATGTAGAAGCCGAACGATCGTCGGAAAAAGATTTTGATGCTCAGCTGAAAAAGGATATTGTTATTGATGATTATATTGATTTTTTGGGGTATATAAGGATGCCAATAAAGTCTTGGGGCTTTTTAATGTGTAATGTTACAGTACCCTTATTTACTAAATTCGTCAAAATTTCAGTGTATTATCCATGTCAGTACTATTTTTGTTTTCACGTTCCTCAAAAAGCGGCACGTGTTCTGGCATAACGCCAATTAATCATAGTTAAGCGACACTTTCTTTCGTCTTTTAACGAAACATTTCGCGCTTGTCATTTCGAATTTCGATGTTTGATTGACGGATCGATCGCCGGGCCAAGAATAATATTTGTGGAGGGCCAGCTGACACCGTTATCAGGCTTTAACTGGTCCCACACACTGGGCAAAGAACGGAGATTGGCCTTATCTGGTTCCACACGCCAGTTAAAGGATGGAGATTGGCTCTACCTAGTCCCACACACCCACCACAGACCGTATATTAGCCTTAACTAGCCTCACACACCCGGTAAAGAGCAGATATTCTCCTTACCTGGTCCCACACACCCGCCGGATAATGGAATGTAGCTTTTTCGTGAACAAAGTGAGTCATCATAAAGTCGGGAAGGTTGATATCGCCAATGATTTCCACCGGTATGCCTTGGCGTTTCCAGAACAAGCGCACCTTGCCCACGTTGAAGGAATAGCTCTCGAAGACCGTTGTGCATTCGACTTGGTCCATCTGAAGATTTAGTTTCAGTGTTATAATGAATAAATTTATTATTAAGGTTTGTTTTGAATATTACATTGTATAGTGATGTGATTCAAGCTTCTCCCCCTCGTGTATAACATAATATAAAGATTTGTTTGCTATATAAAGCTGCCAAAAAATCACGCCGTTTTTTTACGTGAAAAACAATGTAAATTGACGACAAGACTTTTTATTACTTAAAATTTTATTAAAAAAACATTTGTAATACCTAATATTTTATCAAAAACAACCTAAAATTTAATTTTCTGTTATGTTTTTCATAAAAATTCAAGTTTGCAATTTAAAATCTGCTCCAAATTCTTCGAAAAAGCAATGTTAATATCTGGAAAACAATGCTTGAAAAGAATTCATACATTTGGAAGCACATTCTTCAGATACGAACGTGAATAACAGACAAAACTTGTCACATTTTCATGAGCCATAAATAAAAACAAAAATTTTTTAATTTGGATTTAAAAAATAGCTCATAAGAAAGTTTAAACTTCAGTTTAATCACAAGGAAGCTAAAATTAAAGTATGTTATCAGAAGGAAGTTTAAACTTAAGTTTAGATTTGAAAAAGATTCTTTAAAGGAAAGAGTCGCTTCCTTGGCTTTGTGTTTCATTTTTAGAGCTGCAGAAGTTTTTTCGTCTCTTTTTGTTGCTTATAACAATATACTGCTATAACATTGACCCAGAAATGTCATTTACTTTAAAATTTTTTCAATTCTTTGTGAAACAGACCCCATTTAAAATTTTTGTGAAATAGACCCTATTTTGTTCAAATAATTTTGTGCTCCTTAACCCCGCAAACTTGCCTTGCAAAGAGGCACATAATTATATGAACAACCTAGAAATAGCCAAAAAGATCAAACTTTTCAAAAAAACCCACCGGAAACGTGGTAAACTCGAAAGTGCACGGTGATTCCACAACAATTCGGTAGTTCATCCAAATCGTGCCATTTGGCAGAATAGCCAAAAATATGTTGGGCGTGGGTGAAGAATGAACACCAGCTCCTTTCGAATTGACCAAGCACACATTTGGGAGCCAAATACTCTCAACCATCCGATGTGACAACGAGAGATTGGCTACACATTGGGCGCCTTCTTGATTCTCGAAACTCAGCCCTGGATCGTGCCAGATCTGAGAGAAGAGAATGTCCATTTTAGAGGAGGATGTGATTTCGTTGATTTCTGTGACTTTTTGGATCAAAAGTTCTACGTCTACATCGACACCTGAGATTTTGGGTACGAGGTTGCGGTCGTAGCGTTGGAGAATGTCGGTTAGGATTCTGGAAATGATAGTGATGACATAGGGAATTATTACTTTAATTCAACATATTAGGTTGTTCAAATAATTATGTGCTTTTTCAAATTAAAAATTTGCTATAAGAAGGGGCACAGAATTATTTGAACACCCAAATACTATATAACAAAACCTATAAAGTATATACCAACTATCTGCTATTCTACCTTGTAGCATGCTTCTCCGCTTGTCCCAATATACATTGATCCCCATTCTCTGTGTACAATTTCAGCTCTTCCTCAACCTCGTCTTCAATCACACATCGACCGGTAACCACGTTCCTCGAGAAGCCATTCCGACATTCACAAGTGTAGTTGCCGTTCTCCCATTGCTTACAATACGACGACCGAAGATCGCATTTGTCGCATTCTGTAAGAACTTTGATGACATGTCAGGACGACGTAACTTGATACTTGTCTTAATGTCCGAATGACTCTTGAATTTCAAGGTTTAAATGAAATTTCGTCACGGTGTGTCAGGGAATGTTTGTTGGGGATGTTGGTGTTTAAATATACTATTATATAAGGTACTTATATAATGGTATCTTTAATAGTATAGTTTCAGTACTATAGATTAATATACCCATGTTTCAACACCTAACTTGACCTTTTGTTTACAGTAATTTTGATTTTATTTTTGACTTGAAAGCTGTCGTAATGCCACTATTATTGGAACATCAAAGTTAAGAGCGGAAAAAACTTGTTCAACCAGAAATGACATAACTGATTATGCAAATCCACAAAACGCCCTCAGGGTAATTTTTAAACCTTTTTTGGCGGAAAAACTAAAAATACTACGTAAAGATTAAGGTTTTTAATTAGAATATAAAAATAGTTAGATATAACAAAGAACTAACTATTTTTAGCGAAATTAGAATTGGCTAGCCGTAAAGATTTTAAGCCTAAGGTTAACGCTCAATGCTTTTAACCTAACTTAAAGGTATGATTAGGTAAAATACGGTATCTAAGCGCCATAGATTTACAAGAACGTTTTAAAATGTAATTTTGCTTGTCATTTGGAGCAAAATAAACTAAAAATCAAAAATGTGCTGTTTTGAAGTGACATCAAATTAAAAATGTTTTCAAAAAGTCACGTGAGCTAAACTTCAGCAGAATGACAAGTACAAGATGTTTCGAAAAATTAAAGCTTGAAAATGGCACAAGCTTGTTCAAAAAGTATTTAAATTTACTCCAAAGTAATGTTACCCTGCACGGCTCCCCAAAAATAGAAAATTATTAAAAAATCGATTGTAGACATTTCGTTGTCTCAACTATAGATTCGAAAAATAAAAAATACAAAAATGTTGTAAAATATATTTCAAATCACACGATGTATACGTTGTAACACATGGTTTTACTTTTAAATTTTGTTTAAAATATTAATTATGTTTTTCTGCTTCTCTGGGAGCAAACCCGATGAAAATCCGTCAAGTTTGGACCCTTTTACAGCCAAAAATTATCGAAAAAGACGATCGGTGACGAATTTATATTTTGATTGATTTTATGGTTTGGGGAGCCGTGCCCTGCCATTACTACTAACAATTGTAAAGGGCTTCATTTTAGGTAACATTCTATTAGATTGAACCAAAAGTGATGGGATACATTTTGGTTAAAAAGTAGATGAAAATTGTCCCACTACTTTTGGTTCATCTTAATAAAGTTGTTTAAAAAATCTGAGGTCCCTTGCAAAGCATTTTTTGTGGTTAAGGGGCACAGAATTATCTGAACAACTCAATATATCTTCTCTTTTAGGTAACAATCAAAGAAAATCAAACCTCATCCACCCTACCTTTCGCCCGATGTTTGTGCGGCGTTTCGGCCGCGGCTTCGGTGGAACGTTGAGCGGATTGTTGAACCACAATTAGCATTATTAAGACCAGGAGGAATTGAGACCAGTCCGTCCGCCTCATCGCCCCGTTTGGAGGGGACAAAGCCGGTGTTCTTGATAGCCCCTCTTGCAAATCTCGACGTTTTCGCACTAAATTCTAAGCCCATTAATACTCTGTCTACTCGAGGGAAGATGAGTACAAATTAAAAATTACTTCGCGGTATTGTTTTACTTGTTAAAGGTATTGGTTTAAGTTATGTCAAGATAAGTAAAAGATGAGCTATATAGCTAGAGTGGAGTAAAATATGATAAAGCGAGACAGAATAGGAAAAAGTAAGGTAAGGTGGTGTATGATAGGGCACGACAAGGCACAATAGAGACGGGTAAGGTAAGGTAGTGTAAAATAAGATAGTATAATAAAGGAGAAAGAATATAATAAAAAGTAAGGTAAAATAGATATCGTTGGGTAGTGTAGGGTAGGGTAAAGTAGGGTAGGATAGGGTAGGGTAGGGTAGGGTAGGGTAGGGTAGGGTACGGCACGGTAAGGTAGGGTAACGCGGGGAAGGGTAGGATAGGGTAGGGTAGGGTAGGGTAGGGTAGGGTAGGGTAGGGTAGGGTAGGGTAGGGTAGGGTAGTGTAGGGTAGGGTAGGGTAGGGTAGGAAGAGCCGATCTTCCTCAAAATTTAATGTGAATCTGTAATATAGACCAACGTCATGCTACAGGTTTACAAATATAAAATTGTATCACTAACCTCTAAATCTTCAAAAAACATCCCCAAAACATGTAGCAATGCAAATTTTGCGAAACAACCCAATTACGCAATAAAAAGTACGAATTGAGAGCAAAAACATCTCCCGGTTCAAAAACTCAAACCCCATCTAATTGTAGGCCAAGCCCGCGCTGACTCGAGCCCGAGGCGAAAGGACAATGTGCTCATTTAAATAAGCCATGACAATTTAAAACAAGTCAAGAAACGATTTATGGGAGGTGGGAAAAGTCGCGTGAAATTCGAAAAAAATTGAGTTTTTGTTGGGTCACTTCCGAAGCCGGTGCCGGTTCCGGACTCCCCTCCCCCCACCGACGGTTGGGTCTTCTGAAGAGAGCACGGTGTTGATCAGAGGATTTACGCTTCACTTCAAAGCCAGACTTTTTGCCACACCTTGAGGGCGTTTTTGGGACAGAATAACACTGTATAATGTTTAAAATGGCATAAAAAGGCTAATAATATAAAAAGAGTGATGTCAATGTAAAAAAGGTTAAAAAACGACCGGTAAAACTCGTAAACGAACTTATTTAGTCTTTTGTAAAGTAGAATAATGTTGTAAGCGTACGGTAGGAATGAGTAGTGTAGTGTATAATAGGGTAAACATAAGTAAAGTAGAGTAAGATAGGGTAAGATAGGGTAATGTAGGATAAGATAGGGTAGATTAATGTGCCAAAAAAGTATTGTCATCATTTTAAATTATCAAAAATGTAATAAAATATATTGGCAATACAACTCATCAAATCTCTTTTTATTTAAACAAAACACCTAAAATGTAGTAGAAAAATGTTAAAAATGTAACAAAACAGTGTTGCAAATGTACTAAAGTAATAGAAATATGTTGTGTAGGAAAATAGATACAATTTTAAAATTGCCACTTGTAACTTTAAAGATAATAACTCTAAAAAGTAGAAACAAAATGTTCAGAAAGTCCAGCTACAAAACGTAATTTTTAGAGGCGAGAAACGGCCCATGCCCGAGCCACTTTTGAAACCGGGGCCAACGTTTAGGCCCGGTCCGGTAAAAAAATTCTAGACACGGCTTGGCGCAGACTATATCAAAACTTTTAAAAAATTTTTAAACATTAAAGAAAAAGAAAATTTGCTTTTGCAATGTTATTTTGAAGCATCTATTAGTTGGGGTACCCAAAAAATAAAAAGAAAAACAAAAATTTCGAAAAATTTTTTAGGTCTAAACTTACTTTTCAGGCACAGCTTTTTTCTCACTCCTAGATCTTTTCAAAAATAACCAAAAAAACTAAAAAATGTCAAAAAATTAGTTGTAAGGTTAGGTAGCAGTCTTTTAAAAAGAAGTTTTTAAATAGGATAGATAGCCAAGCATAGCGTACGTTTTAAAAAAGTTGTTCACCATCTGCCCCCCCCCCTTTTCTCTTCACAATCTCCCAAAAAAGTCCTACCGCTAACAAAAAACGACTATTTTAAGTAATACTTTCCCTACCCCAACTCCCAAACATCTTCAAACCCCTAATCCGCTCGATCAATTAGGCACTAAATCAATTTCTAATTGATAAGCGTTCCATTATCACGGCCAACAAACGCGGTGTTGGCCTCATTTCGAAGGCTTTGTTGAAGCACTTAAGCGTCCGCCTAAACCAAAACCTCGGCGAGAAAGCGGCACGATGGGCAGGAAGATTTGTAAACAAATGCAAATATGCACTTGACGAAAATGATTTTAAAAAACGAAAAAAGAGCGAAAATGTGCTGATTCTTCGCCGCCTTCTCAAGAGCCGGAGGGGGGAGACAGGAGGTTGGACATGTAGAGACGGATCACTCTGGCATCTTGTCTTCAAGCCGGCTTCCACTCTTGACAGCTCCCCCCCCCCTTCTCGGCTGACAATCCCATGACCTAAAGGTGATAAGTATGATCTTACATCTAGTTGTAATTGTATCTTTTTGTACTATTGTTACATTTAGTTGTCAGAGTATTTAAAGTTTCTACGACCAGGACTAATTCTAAGCAGTCTAATAAGTTTTGTTATAGTTAACATGTAAGTCTCAATGAACTATATGAAGTTAAAAAACCTTCTATAAACTGTAAAAAACCTTTTCTTATTATAAGTAGTACCCTGCAAAGAAACCGGTCCTAGTATGTCTCCTTTCATCTCTAGTTGTTTTAGGAATTTTATATGACAAGATTTTGATGTATTTGTCTTAAACTGTAATGTAATTACTATTTTAAGTAACTTTTAGCAATTTTAAGCTTTTTTTACTGTATCTAATCTTATTATGTAAAAAAATTGTCTAAGAGTTAGAATAAAAATTAGACTTGTCTAGATTTTGGTAAAAAATATGTTTTTTATATTATAGTAAAAGAAAAATAAGTCATAAATATAAAGTTTTAATAAAAAACGAATCAATAAGAAATACAAAAAAGGCATAAAATGAAAGCTAAAGTCACAATTTAAAAAATTTTACAAAAATATAAAAAAAATCATGAGCAATGTTACTCAGCACTAACAAGGGAAATACTCAACCTGCCTCGCACAGAATCAGCTCAAAATTTTTGTATGAATGCTTTGTAGCACCAATAGTACTTAAAAATTTTAGCTTGTGCTTTCGAGTTTTAAATTTAAAGCATTAGGGTTTTCATTCAATTTGACGATTTTGGCATTGTGTTTCAAGTACTTTTGTTGACTTTCCGAACAAGCTACGCGTACAAATTTAAAAAAGTAGATGCACTAAAAGCTTTTCTACTAGTATATTCAAAGAAAAATAATTAAAAATAAAAAAATAACAAAGTTACAAGCTTGAAACACAATGCCAATTTAGCGAAAAATTCAAAACGTAATTTTTTGATCTCGATTTTCCCGAGATTTTTTATAAAAAGTGCTTCACTACTTTTCGGAAAGTCTTACATTTACGTGATCTTTCTGTATAAAAAGCTTGAAGTCAATCAGAGCCGGGAGGTCAATCACTTTCCTTGTAAAGTGGTAGTCGGAAAAAACTACATCTAATATATAATATAACAAAGCTAATAATATAACAAAGCCATAAGCAACCATACTCACCAATAAATAAAAAAAAGGTCAAAAATATGTTTGAAAAGAACCTATTGTATAATATAATACCACATTGAACCCAAAAAACAAAGTAAGTCATAAGAATTGAGATTCGCCTTATTTGCATAGTAAATATGATGGTGGAAAGTAGATGAACATGAATACTTGAAGACACGAAAAGACAGAGCATGTTTGTTCAAAAAAGTTTAATTCCAGGTTCGAATCGCCTCGAGGGATATTGAGAGATTATGCAGACAAAATTAAAAATATTTTACTGGGTAAAGTTACAGGATGTGTGATAGTACATACTGTTTAAAACTGAAGTAAAGTGCATTTCAATATCGATGACAAAGCAATTTTTGGCAAAAATAATGCGTATTAAGGCAGCAGAAAAGTCTTGGCGTCAATATGCATTCACAAGAAGGGTTAAAAGCGACAAGGCTTTAGCACATTTCACAACAACAACGTTAAAGTCGTAAAATAACTGTGTCAATAAATGATATTATGTTGTTCAAATACTTATGTGCCCTCTAACCTCAAAAAAACTTAATTTGGGAGGCAGGACAGAACTAGTTGAACAACCTAATACCATAACTGTCACTATGCTACAATAAAGAACCCAAAACCTTCAAGTCTATAACATCTACAAAAACGTTTCAAGAACAACACGTAGTATAATATGTAAAAACAGTTATACATAAAGATGAGCACTTCCCAGTTTATCAGATTGTAAATGTCAACAGGATTATTGACATCTCTCCGCGTCGGCTATTTTTAACGTTTCACGTAGAGTGTTTATAGTAGCTAGTACATAGTAAGAATGAAACAATACTACAAAAAAATACTTGTTGTTTTTGTATCAAAAATATTTACATCTTAAAACATTACAAGTCCAAAAAAAACATATGAATACAATTGTTCCTTTGACTTTTGCTAAATCAATAAATTAGAAATACTGTCATGACATGCCATGTTTAAATTCAAAAAAAATGTTTTTAATTTTTATTTGATGCTTCTGCTATTAGGTAGCCGCACGGCGCAGGATATTCTATGCCCTGTCTTGCGAGGTATAAATCACGCTTTAAAAATAGGATACAAAAGAAGGCAAGCATAGGCAATGATGCCTTATAACACGGTTTTTGTAAGAAATGAAAGCCTGTGTCGACACAAAACAAGCCAAAGGCTCTTATTTTTTTTAATAAGCATATATTGACAATTTATATGTGAATAACCTAAAATCAGTTTTGCAAAAAAAGTAAATACAGTATAACAGAGTACTGTAAAGTTTTCATATCTTAC